ATAATGGGTGCTCTGTGAATGTCAGGGATCCCTGCTCTAATGGGACTCAGACAAGGACAGAAGGGGCTGAAGCCACACTGCATCCTGGCACTCAGTAGAGCAAGGACAGGGATCCTGCCTCCTCATGGCCCAGCAGCTCCACCTGGCTTAGGGACACTGAGCCTGGAAACACAGAGGCTGACCTCAACCTGCTCTGCGACAGATTCGTAGCCTGAGAGACCGAGGCCTGGAGTTCTTGAGTGTTCCGTCAACCTACTACAAGCAACTTCGGGAGAATCTCAAGACAGCCAAGATCCGGGTGAAGGAGAGCATTGATGTGCTGGAGGTGAGGCCCAGAGGGATGCTAGGCCACAGGCAATGTGAGCCCTGAGTTCCATCTGGCCTCCCCCACCCTGCAGCAGACACAGGCACACAGAGGGAAAACCAGAAAGAAACAGAGTGTGTGTGTGTCGGTGCCATATAAAGTTAAAACAAGCAACCTAGGGCTACTTTACAGGAAGTGGCGAACTTTCTGAGAAGGTGACTTTAATTGAAAGCTATATAATAAGAGGGACCTGGCCAAGAAGAGAGCTAGGAAGAGCATCCCAGCAGAGGGAAGAGCAGGTGCAAAGGTGATGGGGTGGGAGCAAGCTCCAAGTGCTTGAGGAGCAGGAAGAAGGCTCATGTGGATTGAAGACAGCATCTGAGAAGAGGTGTACCAAGGCAGGTAGGCGGTTCCACTTGGGGGCTCTTAAGACAAGATTTTGCACTTCTTTAGCCACAAAGCATTGAAGGTTTTTTTTTTGTTTGTTTTTGTTTTTTTTGGTTTTTTTTTTTTGTTTTTGCTTTTTAGCAGGTTTTTTGGGGCATAGAAGTCACATTAAATGTTACCCATTATCTATATGTTAAAATCAAAATGAATTTTAGATTTTTTTTTTTTGTACAAGGTATTGAACCCAGGAGTGCTTCACCACTGAGCTACACCTCCAGCCCTTTCTATATTTTATTTACAGACAGAGTCTCACTGTGTTGCTTAGGACCTTGCTAAGTTGCTGAAGCTGGATTTGAACTCGTGATCTTCCTGCCTCAACCTCCAAGATGCTGGGATTACAGGCGTATGCCACCATGCCCAGCTCAATTTAAGAACATTTTCATTTTCCCCCAAAGAAACCCTGATCCTCTTAGTTGTTACCTCCCAAACCCTCCACTTCACTCCTCCTGCCCCAACTTTAGGCAACCACTAGACTCCCTTTGGTCTTACAGATTTGCCTAGTCTGGAATTTCATATAAATGAAACCATACAACATGTGATCTGTTATGACTAGGTTTTTTTCACTTAGTATAAAGTCTTCAAGGTTCATCCAGTTTTAGCCTAAGTCAGTACTTCATTTCTTTTTGTGTGTGGAGTGCTGGGGATTGAACCCAGGACCTCGCACATGCTAAGCAATCCTTCTAACGGAACTCCCTGTCTCTCGCCCAGGAGCTGAAAATCCTGGTGGATTATGACGAGAAAGGCTACCTCCTGCAGATCTTCACCAAACCCATGCAGGACAGGCCTACACTCTTCCTGGAAGTCATCCAGCGCCACAACCACCAGGTAGGCCCTGAGCAGGGCCTGCAGGGAGCATCATCTGCTTTCTGGGTCCCCAGCTCACCTGCTGTCTCCCACTCCAGGGTTTTGGAGCCGGCAACTTCAACTCGCTGTTCAAGGCTTTCGAGGAGGAGCAGGCGATCCGAGGCAACCTCACAGATCTGGAGACCAACGGGGAGGTGTCCGGCATGTAGGCCCCGCCCACCGAAGGCCAAGCCCCTAGTACTGGGACACGCCCACCTTCCCCGCCCTCAAAGTCAGATCCGCCGGGTCACGCTTCCCCATTTAGACCCCAATCGACTTCGGGATCCAAGGCTCCGCCCACCACTGACCACGCCCCCCTGGTTGAGCTACTCTTGTGATTAAAGTGGACCTGGTCCAAGGCGGTGTGTGGAGTTTGTGCCCGGGAGGAGCAGTGGCGCCCCTTCGCCACGAGGGGGAGGCCAGAGCCACGGCATTTCGGAGGCATCTCCTTAGGATCCCTGCGCCCTGCGACCCAAGCCAGCGTGGGGTGGGGTGCAAGCGCTTTGCTAAGCGGGACTGCGCTGGTCTGGGGGATTTCTGGAACATGGGGACCGGGAGCCTACAATCTAGAGAAAGGACCGGTAATACCGTTTCCTAGAAAACAGTCAAGCAGGTCTGAGGTTGAGAGGCGATGGAGGTGGGAGGAGGACTAATTCAATCAAGGGAAAGCCCCTCTGAGAAGGTGACTTTGGGGAGCCGCCGAGGGAAATAGGGGAAAGCGTTTCTCGGGTAAAGACAGCGGCAAGAGATAAGGTCCTGAAGTGGGACAGAAGGTGGCAGCATCCAGACTGGTGGCTTTATGACTGCTAAAGATGCGCTGTCTTGGATTTGGTTACCGGGCGTCCAAACCTCTGAACAAGTGAGAGGGGAGAGTTAGCCAAGGTACTTTAGGGGCGCTATCCTTGCTGGGCAACCAAAGAACACAGGACAGGTAGAAGGGATCTGAGCCTCTCAGCTTCTGCCCTGCACCCTCACGTGACAGTTCACGATGCCCCACCCAATGCCACTACACCCGCCCTTGTCCCCAGTGAAAAATACTTTTAGAAAGGGGTTCTTCATACTCAGCCACCAGCGACCCTTGCAAAAGAATGAGGCAACTGGTCCTGAAACCCTTGAGAGGCAAATATTTCTTCAAAATCAAAGAAGAGGGGGTTAGGGGAGTAGCTCAGCAGTAAAGAGTTTGCCTAGAATGTGTGTGCAAGGCTCTGGGTGCTGTCAGTCCCCAGCACAGCAAAAACAGACAAACAAACAAACAAAAAATCAGGCGGCAAAGAAGAGATGGGTGGGGGGCAAATTTGGTCTCTTCCTTCTGCTTTACATGCTGACATCCCTCCCTGAATAAGGGTCAACTCAAAACTAGGTACAGGTGGATGGATCTCCAGGAAGGGGAAAAAAATCTGTGATGGTATTAAGGGGGAAATTGAGATTTTTTTTTTTTTTCAGATTAGAGAAAATATCAGGGTTTCTGGGATCATGAAATTCAAAAATGAAAAGAACATGGGAGAGAATCAAGATGAACAGGTGCCAGGCCCATGCAAAAATAGTCTCCCTCTATTCTCCCATGACTTATGCAAAGGGAAATTCTATAACCCAGAAGGCGGCAGATTGGTGGCTTCTAGGCTAAATCTGGCCCATAGATGTATTTTATGTTGTCTGCATGGTTTCAAACAAGTTTGCAACAATATTGTAGAAAGTTGTGCTTTTATATACAGACTCTGGTTCTTTCTGGAGCAGTCAGAGGACTCAGGCTTGCCTTCCTATGCAGCAACAGGCAGCTGGTGCTAAGTGTAGGTGCCTCTTTAGATTCATCTGAAGGCTTGGGTTCTGGGCAGAGTAATCCCCGGTTAGCTGGGCTCAGACTAGGGAACCAGACTGCCGGGTTCACATCCTGATCATCGCTAGCTGTATGACCTTGGCATGCTACCTGGCTTCTCAGTGCCTGTGTTTCTTCATCTCTTGAACAGTGCTGAGAGCTGCCGAGTTTCATATCAAAGGTATGGCTTGCACAGTGAGGAAATATATGTGTTTTTATTCCTGGAAAAGGGACTGGGTGAATGACTCCTGCCCAACTCTGCCTGGAACCCCCACCCACCTCTCCCTCGGTCAGATATACACACATCTCAAGTTGGGGTTCTCCTTTTAGCCCCCTGCTATGGAACCAGTGGAAGAGCCTTACTCAGCAGGATTATGGGAAATCAGAGGGAAAGTGGATAGATCTGAGGAATAACAGAGAACCACCACCAGATCTGGGAGGGGAGAGGAGGGGGAAGGTAGAATCCAGGATGGCTGGACTTTGAGCTTAAGACAGCAGCATAACGTGAGTGAAGCAGGACACAGAAGTGCCATTGACTAAGCTGGAAAATTTGGCAGGAGGAACAGTTTCAGAATGCAAGGTATTATCTATTTTTTTTTTTTTTTTTTTTTTTTGTATTCAGATGAGTTTCCTCCATGTACCTAGGGCTGGACCCCTGTGTTACCCTTACATTCCCCTGTAAGGCCCAGCGCTGTCTGCCTCACCTACTTGATACCTCTCAGATTTATTTTTTTACCCCCTTTCATGTCAGGCTTAACTTCTGACAGTGCACACTTGGGCCCAGGGCTTATGTGCCTTTTAAATCCCTGATGTCAATCTTAATGTTTCCTCTTAAAGGTTACAACAGTTAACATTTCCACAATGATGCCCCAGTCTCCTTGCCTTGTGCCAACTGCCATGGGGTATTTTGCAATTTCCAAGTCTGGCCAGCTTGTCAGGGAAAAAGAGTGCTGTCCACACTTCTCTAGTAAGAGAGGCCCCACATCTTTTCAGTCAGGTTGCTTTTGCTAAGATTCCAAGACTTTCCTTCATGGAAATACCCTGGACACCATCTAACAAACACCACAGGCCCCTCTTCACCCTGTCGGGGGATCAAGCAGTGGCCCTGGAATACCACAAACACTCTCTTCTCAACTTGTGGTATTTTATCTGTCTCTTCTTCCTCTCAGTTGCAGTCCAGAGGGATGTCTCCCAAGTGTTAAAACATGGTTGAGGAACCACCTTTCCAGGTACTTCTGGTGATAGTAAGATACTTGATCTTGTTTCCTTAGCTGCAGACTATTAGCAGCATTAGATACAGGAGTTATTCTGCTTGTTTTGGCAGCATGTATACTAAAATTGAAAAACACCTAAGAAAAAAATCTACAAGAAAAACTTAAAATATGTGTAAGGTCTTATCTGACTGTAATTTGGTCCAGTTTATAGACTCCACTTACAGGCTCAGAGTTTAAGAACGATGGTCTGAATGAACCACACCATACCCTCCTCCAGTTCCTGGCCAGCCTGCCCTCCTTGTGAGAAGGGTGTACTCCCAACAGATAGAAAAAAAATGAGGAGGATAGGGAGAGAGAGGAGAGCAAGAGAGACGGCGTATCTGTAAGAAAAGTCAGTATATTTATGGTTTGCTTTATAAAAGTTACTATAATACAATGGTACATAGTATTGAATTCACAAAAATATGAACAAATATTTACAGCAAGACACACCCACAACGGAAACACTTCTCTTCAAAACAAGTTACATACTGATGGATGACAGAGTCTATACGTACAAACATCTCTAAAACTTATTCTCTTTGCGGGGGGAGGGAAAGAAGAAAGAGGGGAGAAGGCAGAGAAAAGGAAAAAAAAAGCAGAAACCCCCAACACTTCAAAAGCAGAGAATCTGTTCAATGAAAACAAAGGCTTTGAGAGAAAAATGGGCCAACACACATGTGGATTATTGCAAAGCATCCTGGTGTGGGGTGGGGGTCCTGGGGAAGATGGGGGCCCAGTCCCTCGCCATTGGTCAAGGCTGGCCAAGCATTAACACAGCCTCCTTGCTGGGCGAGGGGAGGCACAGCAAGGGCCGAGGTGGGCCCTCCCTGGATTCCTCACATCCCCCACTTTTCTTTTATGGAGGCGGAGGGGAGAATGGAGGCAGCCCCTTGGGGGCTGCACAAGTAACTTAAATCGGCTCTCTCTACAAACTACACATTTCCTCATGTGAAAAATAAATATTTCCTCGGTTGCACCATTAGGCAGAAAACTGCAAACGGAAGAGAAGGTCGCCGCTGTGTCCAGGTGCCCCCCTGTCTTAATGCCATCGATTTCCTTGACCTTGGAACCGGTGGGCACAGTCTCAAACAGAGGGCCTGCGGTGAAGAAATTAAAAAAAAAAGAAACCACACACACACACACACACACAACAAAACCACAACGACAAAAAAGAGAAAAATAACAATTCTTTGTACAGAATTTACATGATAACAAGCTTGACACAAGCTGAGATACCAGAGGCTGGCAGCCTGGGCCGCGGTGGGCGCGGCTCCCACCCAGCGCTCCCCTTGGTGAGCACCTGGGTCACAACAGTCAGTTCCAGAGATTATTTACACGCCTGCTCTGCTTTCCAGGGGGCGGGGGACTTGCATTCGTGTCTTTTTTTTTTTTTGGAAGTACAAAGAAATGAGCAAAAGTCTTCCCACATGTTTCTACAAGAAACAAGTTCCCGAGAAAAAGTCCTTTATGGCAGTCTATATACAAAGTTGGTTCTGAACTTCAAAAACCTATTTTTTTCCCTTCGTTTTGATTTTATACACGCACTAGAAAAAAAAATTCATGGAAATAAACCCTGAAAAGGATGAGAAGGGAGGGGGAGAAAGGGTAAAAAGGAAAAAAAAAAAAAAAAAAAAACCACTGTCAAAGACTTAGATCCGAGTTTTAAAATCTTTCCCAAGATTTTTCTTTCTCTGGGAGAAATAACCTGCTCACTCCGAAAATAAATATGCTCTGGCCTTGAGGGGTGGCCAGGGGTGGGAGGCGGGGAGGTGGATGTGGGCTGGGCGGCGGGTGAAGCTTATGAACGAAAAATGCCACATGCATACGGTCAGACAGCCCGTAATGGTGGAGGTGGACCCCTGCCCTGGGAGCCCCCTTAGCCTGCACGGGTTGAGGGCAGTGGAGAGTGGAGACCCCCCTTGCCAGTGCCGCCCACGCTGGGCCCCAGGGAAGCCCCCTCATTGCTGGCATCCGAATGAGAAAGTAAACATTGAGCCCAAGGATTTGGGGGGCAGGGAGTGCCCAGGGGACCTTCCTGCCTGGGACCAGCTTGGCTCTCCCAGGCCCCAGGGAAGGGACAGACTGGGGAGCAGCTCAGGGGAAGAGGTGGGGTCTCCTCACTGCGTTCACGGGCAGAGAGGGGGCCTTTCGGCATTGTAGTGTCGAGGTCAAGGCCACTGGCCCGGCCCTTCCCCCCAGCACCTGGCCTGGTCTGCCCAGAGGGTGCAGGGACCCTTCGTCTTGGAGGCCTCTGGCCCCACCGGGTCCCCCCTCTCTGTTCTGCCTTCACATTTCAACGGTTCAAATGTCTTTTCTTATGACAGGGAGGGAAATAAAAAGAAGACAAAACCACATAGCAGCAAATTGACGGGAGAGGCCGAGGATGGGGTGGGAAGGAGCACAAGAGAGCCACGGGGATGGGGACACCGAGGGAGACAGAAATGGCATCTGGCTAAACGCACATCTAGAAAGGAGCATTTCTTCAACAATGAGAGAGACACGATGGAAAAACAGAGAAGCCCTTTCCCGCTGCGGGGCTGGAGCTGCGGGCGGGTCCTGGGGTAGTGTTGGGGGCGCCAGGCCCTGATGGCCGCAGGGGCGAGGGACAGCACCTGAAATGGGGCGGGAGGGGCCGGCCCTGGGGCCTGGGGTCCGGCCCAGGTGGCAGCGAACATCCTTCGAGTTTGGCGCTGGGGGGCCTAGTTGAGGGTCCCCCGGCAGTTCTCCGAGCCACAGAGGCAAGGGATCTTGACGTCCTCGATGGGGAACTTGTAGTCGTAGGTGATCTCCTCGTTCACGTTGATGTGCTGCTTGGAGTAGATGACGATCTTCTTCTGTGACTCTACCGTGATCACCTTGGCATAGCAGTTGGGCTGTAGGGAGGGGCAGCACGGTGAGGCCCCCAGCCTCTCAAACCCAGTATGGCCCTGCCCACGGGCCAGCTGCTCCAGGCTCAGCCCTCCCCCTCTCTGGGTGACAGGAACCCCTTGCCCCTGATAGTAAATAAAAATGATAATGATGACGATGAGCTTCTACTTCCTTTTCCATTTGTGCTATAGGTGACTCCTAAAAATCTCTCTGGCCCAGGCCTCACTACTTCTTTTATGTGTGGGACATTAGGGATTGAACCCAGGGTGCTCTACCATGGAGCTACATCCCAAGCCCTGTTTTATTTATTTATTAATTTTTAAATTCTGAGACAGGGGTCTTGCTAAATTGCCCAGGTTGGCCTTGAACTTGTGATCCTCCTGTCTCATCTTCCTGGTTGCTGGGATTATAAACATGACCAGGCCTTACTTTTCTGAGCTCTAAACAAGGTCAGCAAACTATAGGCCTCAGCTACCTGTTTTTTTTTTTGTGAATAAACCTTTATTGGCACACAGCCACACTCACCCATCATTTGCTTATCACCCATGGTTACTATTGTTACAAGGGTGCAGTTAAGCCTGCTACAGAGGTCGTTTGGGGCTCAAAGACAAGAATATTGACCACCTGACCCTTTATGGAAGAGGCATGCCAGCCTCCACCCACAGTGGGAAACCCAGCTACCTGCTCAGGGCACATGCATTGGCTCATAGCTGATTCCTGATGGGCTCCTGCTCTGGCCCCTGAGCACCCAGCTCCTGGTGTCCTCCATCAGTGCCAGCTCTGCCCTTCCACCACGTCTAGGGAATTCTGTTGCCTAATGACCTCTGGAGTCTTGACTGCTGCTCCCTGTTGCTCCCTGTCCCTGATGCCACCAGTCACAGTTGGGCTCCCATCACCACTCACTGCTCACCTGGACCACAACAGCCCTTGCTGCCACTCAGAGAATCGGCAGCCAGGGACAGTTTTCCCAAGGGATGGCAGATTCTGTCACCCCATGGCTCCATACCCTCTAGTGGCCTGCTAGGCCTTTTTTCTGTGTGCTACAGATTGAACTCAGGACCCGATTTGGCTTCTAGAGAAACTCCTCAGTTCAACCAACAAGCCTGTGACCCGGCATATAGACCTTCCCCCTTGTCCTCTCTCCCTCCTCTACCCACTGTCCCCTTGCTGCCCCTCAAACAGGTGTTTTCCACATGCCCGCCCCAGGGCCGCTGGCCACATGTTGCCCTACATAAGGCGATGTCCCCTTATCCCTCAGATCTCACAGGACAGTCACAGAAAAGGCTCTATTGGCCTCCAGCCCAACAGCGGTTAAAGCACCATCAGGAGGGCCAGTACACGCAGAGGACTCGTCACTGTCAGCACTTTCCACGGGCCACATGCAGTAGCACACTGGACTCTCCCAACAGCCTACATAAGAAGGGACTGTCACAGTCCCTGTTCACAGATGAAGGAACTGAGGCAGTGAGACGTGGAGCAGCTGTCCCGGGGCAGCTCACTAGGCAGCACTGCCACAGCAGCCTGGGCCAGCCTGCTGCTGAGGGGAGCTGGGGCCACACTCCCTACCCAGTCCCGAGCACCATCTACTGTTAGGCTCGATAGGACTAAATAAAATTGAAACTCAGTTTCTCAGTTGCACCGGCCACTCAAGTGCTCCAACCACACACAGCTGGCCCACACCAGAGGACAGTGCGGTCGATGTCACACCACTGTGGAAAGTTCTGGGACTGGGACGTAGCTCAGAGGTGGAGCACTTGTCTGGCATGTGTGAGGCCCTGAGTTCCAATCCCAGTACCAATAAAAAAAAAAAAAAAAAAAAAGACAGTTCTTTTGGGAGACTCTGTCCAGAGCATGAGCCTCTAGGGCTGCGCGGAGCCAACAGAGCCACAGAAAAGGCCCCAGACAGAGGAGCGATCCCAGAACACACAGAACTGAACCAGCCTTTCTCTTTCTTTTTGAGTAGGGATTGAACCCACTGGGGTTTCTACCACTGAGCTACATCCCCAGCCCCTTTTATTTTGAGACAGGGTCTTGCTAAGTTGCTGAGGCTGGTCTCAAACTTGCAATCCTCCTACCTCAGCCTCCCAAGGTGCTGGGATTACAGGCATGTGCCACCACGCCCAGTGAATCAACCATTTCTTGAGCACCATTAGTCCTCACACAGCAACACAAGTCTCACTGCGCTCATTTTACTGATGAGACACTGAGGCTTGGATGAGAAAAGTGCCTCCTACAGGCCACAGCTCCCCACACCCCCAGTTGACCTAAGTGTGAAAGGAAGCTGAGGTGATTCCTGTGCTTGGGACTCCTAGGTGCCCAGCACTTCGGTTGGGCACAGACACCCCTTATTGGACACTCACATTGCAACTGTGGTTAATGAAGCGTGCAAAGTTGCCGCACTTGGTGGCATCGATGATGGTGTCGTGGTCTACTCGGAACATGTAGCTGCTGCCGATGCCCTCGTCCTCATACCGTTTCTCCCGCATGTCTGCGATCACCTGGCCACAAAAGGATGTCAGTCTGGGTGGACCCGGGGCCCACCATTTACCCATCCTGCCAGGCAGCACCTACCTGGCGGATGTTCTGGCCCACATACTCGATGACCATCTCATCAGCCGCAATGGGTTCCATGGCAAACAGGCCCCAGTCATGAATGTGGCTCTTGCAGAATTTGAGTTTTTTCTTCCGGAACTGGGGGAGGGAGTGAGAGGAGGGGTGAGGCTCTGGCCTCAGGTCCTGCCTCAGCCCCAGCTGCCCTGGGTGGGGCCCAGCCTCACCTTGAGCTGGTTGAACTTGAGTAGGTCGCTGTCACAGCTGCCAGTGAAGGAGGACAACAGGCGGCGCTGCTCTGAACGCCGCTCCGAGCCTGCCCGAGTGGAGGCATGAGGCTGCGCCGGGATGCTCATGCCCTGCCAAGCGCAGCACAGACACAGGTCAGCCCGGGACTTGGCTGCTGGGGCTCGGTGGGCAGCCCACATCCTGGGACCTGAGGCAGCCCCTCCCTAAGCTCTGCTTCTTTGTTGTCCCCACTCCCCAGGTTCCTTCCTCTGGGCTCCTCTGGCCTGTCCACCCCTAATCATCAGGCTCTCTGCCTCCTCCTTCCCATCAGCATCTGTATGTGTCCAAGTTTCTCCTACCTTAAAAACAACATCACAACTTCACTTCAACCCTTGCCACTTTTCCTGACCTCAGCTAAGTTTTGCAGTATGCGAGGTGTCTGCCCTAACCCCTGAGAACCCCAGCAAGGCCCCCAGTGTCCCACACAGCTCCCTCCTTGCCTGTCTCAGCCTCTGCCGCACCCCTGAACCCCGAGCTGCCAGGCCGGCTCCCTCCTCCTGCACGCTCTTAGAAAACCTGCTCCATCCTGATGACAGCTGTTTGGATCCCAGACCAGAAGCCCTGATCCCAAGCTCTGCTGCTTACCTGGGTGTCTATACTGTCTGCTACACTTCCCTTCCTGGTGTCCCACAAACCCCACACTGAGGTTGTCCCAAAGTGAAGGTGCCATCTGCATGCCCACCTCAGGCTTGGCATCCAGCCCAAGCTGCAAGCCAGACCCTCAGCTGCCCAACCAATTTCTTCCTTTCCAATCCCCAATCCAGGCCCAATTCTGTCCATCTGACTTCCTGACCAACCTCAAACACATGTTCTCTTTCCCTTGTGGCCCCCTGAGTCCAACCCACCCTCATGTCTGGCCCAAAACTGCAGCAACTGTATTGGCAGCTCCCCGGATCTCTGCACAGCAGCCCACATGAGCTTCAACCATCACAGAGAGATCCGCAAGACCCCACCTCTCTCAACACCCCCCAGGTTGCCAGTTGACAAAATACAAGTCTAAATTTGTCAACCCAGACCCCAGGGCCCTGACAACCTGTTCCCTACCTCTCTAGCCACAGCTGTCCCACTTACGCTGCTGAGCTCCCCCTGCCTTAGGACCTTTGCACATCCTGCTTTATGCACAACCTCCTGGACTTGTGAGCCTCTCTCCTGTCTCAACTTTCTGTTGCAGTCTTTCTACTTCTCTGTGACCTCTCTCTGTTCCACATAGCTGGTCCCCTCACTTCACTCAGGTCTGGTTCAAATGTGACCTTCTCTGAACCCTCCCAACTTGCCAATCCCTAACTTCCTCTCCTGTCTTCTCCGTCGCATTTGCTCTGCCTGGAAGCACATAATTATTGCTCACGTATTTCCTCCCCATCCCACTAAAATATAAATACCATGAGGAAATGGATTGTCCACTCGTTTAGTCCCTCACTCAGTGCCTGCTACTCAGCAGAAGCTAAGGAATATTTGCTGAATTAAAAAAGAGATGAGCTGGGTCACATCTGAAAGTCCAGCTGCTGGGGAGGCTGAGGGAGGAGGATCACAAGTTCTAGGCCAACCTCAACAACTTAGACCCTGTCTCAAAATAAAAAGGGCTGGAGTGTAGCTCAGTGGTAGCCCTTGTGTTCAATCCCTAGTACTGTCAACATTTAAAAAATGGGAATGAATTAACCTCTGGAAGTGTAATTCTGCTCGTGTCCCTGATTAAAAACCTTTGGAAGCTCTCCACTGCCCACAGGCCACGCCCACCCCTCGGCACCGCCCCCAGCAGGCAGGTGAGGCGCAGTCTGCATACCAGCAACCCTTGCAGGATGGCCCCACCTGAGGCGCCAAAGGGGTCTCCCTGGTGCCAGTACCTGGGTGTCTGCAGGGGGCTCATCGGTGCTGGCGCGGCTACTGTTGAGGTATCTGAGCTTGTCCTTCTTGTCAATGGTGTAGAAGCCCTCGCTGCGGGCACAGCCTGTCACGTGCTCACGGATGCCATCATCGCGTTTCTTTTTCTTAGCTGAAGAGAGGCTGGTGGGTGGGTGTGGGTCAAGGGTCATACATTCTCAGAGAGCCCCTCAGGAGGCCTGTCCCAGCAGGTCCAGCCTTCCTAACCCCAGACCCATCTCACGGGGGTGTCTATACCTATCTCAGCTGCCCACCAGCTACCCCCGGACACAGCGCCAGCTCTGATGGCCACGCCCTGGGCATGTTCAGGAAGTACCCTGCCTCAGTCTCCCCTGTAAACTGGTGTGAATGATGCCATATACTTAGCAGGGTCTCTGAGGCAGGGTGAAGGTTCACTAGTCTGGAACAGCAGGGATACTGACAGCTCCAGCCCTAGAGAGTTCCAATGAGGCATTGGGGCCAGCAGCTCGATTCCAGAGCCAGACTTGCCCGAGTTCAAGTCCCAGTTCTGCAACTTTGTAGCTAGTGACTTGGGGCACATCACCTCATCTCCCTGAGTCTCAGTTTCTTCACCTAGGAAGTGGAAGGCCGACTGCCTTGGCCTCGCTGGGTCGTGGGGATTAGATGGGGAGGCACCAGGAGGAGTGGACACACAGTTGGTGTCCACTGCCACTGCTAAGTTCTACAGTCTCATCCCCACCAACTCTGGGGATGAGGTGGGCCACAGAGCACCAAGGATGATTCAGTTGGGAACCTGGCACAGTGCCAGCACAGGCACTACCTGGGGCAAGAGTGGCCAGTGCCCTTGGCTTCATGGGCACTGATGATTGCTACAGACTGGGAGGGGCCCAGAGGGTGGTGAGGAAGTCCTAAAAGACATGGACGGCTACGTCCCACAGGATATAGGGATGGTAGACCCAGAGTGTGTCGTTGAGCCAGTCCATGCCATTGTCCTGCTGCAGCAGCCGCTCATAGGTGACACACAGGAAGCGGATGTCCTCCTCGTCAATGCCACCGTTCCAGATGTCATATAAGATGGTCATCTCTTCAAACTCTGAGCGGGGCCGGAAGAGGGGCTGGGGTGGAGAGAGCTCGGGCGAGGCGGAGGGGGCCACCAGGTCCTCATGGCGCTTCTTAGGTGGCCGGCGCCACGGCCCCCGTACTTTGGCCAGCTCCATGAACTCCTCAGTGACTTCATCTCGCCCACGAGGGCCTAGGGGGATGGCCTCACAGGGCCACTGGTTGTCTAGCTCCTTAAAGGGCAGCTTGGCAGGCTCAACAGGTGGTGGAGGTGGGGGTGGAGGAGGCTGGGGAGGAAGGGGAGGAGGGGGGGCCGGGATCCCTGCGTTCCGGAAGTCCAGAGTCACAGCCCGGGGATCATGGGTGCTGGGAAAGATGGGGGTCTGTGGCTGGCCTGGCAGGAGCAGAAGGTCCCTTCCAAGGGCAGCCCCCGCTGGTGGCCGCACCAAGGGTCCATCCAAGGACAGCATAGATGGTGGGGATCGCCGGGGCCGGCCCGGCTTCCTCTTGATGGGGGGTGGGCAGGGGGCCAGGGTGGCAGGCAGCAGAGGTGGCAGCTGGGCAGGGGCCCGAGCCTGGGCCCTCAGCACGGGGACAGGCAATGCCAGGGGCAGGGGCAGGGGCAGGGGCAAGGGGAGAGGGAGGCCCGTCTCCAAGAGCACCGGGGAGGCCAGAGGGCCAGAGCGCTCATCTCGCCGGCCAGCCGGGAGCGGGCAGACAGGTAGGAGCAGGGGCCCGCTGGGCTCTGGGAAGGTGGGTGTGAAGCTGAAGTCCCGGCCAGGTGTCCGTGGGAGGCCCCCGCTGCTCAAGCTGGGGGACTGGGATGGGTAGGAGAAGGGACTTCCAGGCACCTGTGGGGAGCTCAGGGACAGGCCGCTGCTGCCCCCTGATAGTGGGGGCTCCCCGCCTGGTGTGGCTGGCACCGTCTCCGTACTCTGAGACTTGCCCAGGCTGCCACAGAGGCCAGGAGTACGTGGGGGCTGGTCCTCAGAGGGAGGCTCCAGAGGGACAGTTGGGTGTAGGGGCTCTGGGGTCTCAGGCTCTGGGGGTGGGCTGGGTGGCCGGGGTGGCCGGGGTGGCGGCAATGGTGGCTGCAGAGGCAAGGACAGCATTGGAAGGGGCTCGGGCTCCACTTCCAGATGATCTTCTGCAGAGGAGAGCAAAAGCCAGAGCATCATTATTTGATCCAGACAACTCCCAGGACATTGTTCCCGCACCCTACTACGCACTGGATACTTAAGTGCCCAGGGTTCCTGAGCAGTTGAACCAAACACCGCTTGGCCCCCAGCCAGGCACACAGTGGGTGCTTCATTTAAATGGTGGTGGGGTTTGTTGAAGACATAGGAGACATGGTTGCTGGCCTTTCAGTGTCTTCAGGACCATGAATCTGGACTGGGCTGCAGCATTGGCCCAGCATGCACAGGCCCTGGGTTCCAACCCCAGCAACACACAAAAACACAAACAAAAAAAAACTGTGTTCCTGTGGCCAAGAAAACTTGCTCTGTGATGGAACAAAATCTAACAAGTCTCCTCGGCAAGACTTGTCAGAGCCTGCAAGGAATCCTGGTATGCCTCCCTACTGTCACAGAGCACACTGGTTAATGTGTCTGTTGTCACCTCTTACCCTGCCCTAGAATATAAACTCCACGAGGACAGGTATTTTTGTCTGTCTGATCCACTCTTGTATTTTATGTGCCTAAAAGAGTACTGGGGACCATAGAACCTTAATGTCGAATCTCTATTCAAGGATCTGTGGTTTGTGGGCAAGTAAATAAAACAAAATACATTAAACTAAATACATCAGTTTTCTTTCCTGAAGACTGAGTAAAGGCAGGTATTAACTCGAGTGGCTATGTTGAAACTAAATAGCGTCACACATCTGGTTCCACAGTGGCTCTGGCCACATTGCAGAAGCTCAGTAAGCAACACTGCATCTGATGGCCACGGTACTGGTCAGCGCAAAGACAGCATCTCCACCATTGCAGGAAGTTCTACAGATGGTGTGATCAGAGCTTTTCATGTGCTTTGTGCAACTCCCTCAAGGGAGTGGAGGGTGCAGAGCTCATAGCCCCTTTCCCTGGACTCATACCCCAAGGCCATCCCACTTGCCTAGAACTAAAATGACCTTACCTTTGGGAGCAACTCACAGGACCAATGGTCTAAGCACTAAACCACAGGGGAAATCCTGGTACTATGGAAGAGAACAGCCCTGGCCCCTGGTGGGCTCGTCCCTCATGGTTCTGTGCCTGCTTCAGGCACCTCATCTCATTATGAGCCCATGCGACCCCATGAAGGAGATACATCTGCTGATGCCATTTCAGAGGAAACTGAGACTTGTGAAGGGAGCCTGGGCTGATTCTGACAGCAAGGACATCTTGCCTCCTCCACTGCCCTCCCAGGAGGCTGCATGTGGTACCTGGAACATGTTCAGGGGACATTGGGGGCTGAGCTTCCATCTCCCTGGCAGGGGGCTCTGGAGACAGCAACATGGCCTCTTCCTGGTTCAGGCTAGCCTCTTCCAGGGGCTCCTTGCACCCGACCAGCTCCTCAACATCCACAGGCAAGGGGGGCTCCTCCAGGAGAGGAGTCTGCTCCTTGGGGGCTTCATCCTCAGCTTCAATGTCCACCTCTTCTTCTGTGCCCAGCGGCTCCACTGCAGATGCCCCTGGGGCCAGAGACACCTCCTCCTTGTCCTGCTCAAAGTCCTCAGCACCTGCAGGTGGCATGCTCTCATCTGCCACTGCCACTGCCTCCTCCTCCTCCTCCTCCACCTCTTCCTCCTCCTCTTCTTCCTCTGGCCCTGCCACCATCTCCTCTTCGTCCTCCGAGGACGAGGATGAGGACTCGGAGCTTGATTCAAACTCAGAAGACTCAGAACTCTCGCTGGATGACTCTGCCTCTGCCTTGGAGGTGGCAATGCTCACCGTCTCCTCTGGATGTGCGACAAAGGGAGAGTCTGGTGATCTGTGGTGCTCCTGCCCCGGGCCAGATGCCTCCCCAGAGGCCACGAACTGGGGGCATCTGGCTGAGCACAGCCTCAGGCAGGCATGTGTGGAGCAGGGTTGATAACTACACTTCATTTTTAAAAACATAACACAAAACCAATTGTTCATTTTAAAGCGAATAATCCCACTGAGCACGGAGGTGCACGCCTATAATCCCAGCCACCTGGGAGGCTGAGGAAAGGCCTGCAAATTCAAGGCCAGCATGGGCAACTTGGCAAGACCCAGTCCCAGTATAAAAGTAAAAAGGCTGGGGTGGGGGGTAGCTTGCTTGCCTAGGATATGTGAGCCTCTGCATTCCATCCCTGATACTAAAAAATAATAACTCAAGAGAGCAATCCCAGTTCCATGCCTCCTCTGCCTAGCTGTGCGACACTCTCGCCACCTCCCTGGCCCACCCACCATCACGCAGTCCTGGCCCTGGACACCAGGCTCTCCCTGCAGCTCTGCGGCCTCGGCCTTCTGGCTATTGCAACGAGTGGAATCAGAAAACACTGTTGTGCACTCTGATGAGTAGAGATTTCAAAAACGTGCTTTCCTGCCCCAAAGCACTCTTTGGGGGGCTCCTTGCACCCTGCCAGGTCCTCAACACCTCTGCAAAGAGGGCCCAGGGCTGGCCATGCTGCTCGGCCTGCTCACCGCCTTCTGAGTCTCCTTCGTCCTCACTCACTCCTGACAGGGCTGCATCTTCACCCTCATTCTCGGTGTCATCGCTGTCCTCATCGTCATCCTGGGGGACAGGGAAGGATGAGGACAGGTAAGCAGGTGGCCTGGGGCTACCTGACGGGCCTAGAACCCCGAGGCAGGCCTCCCGAGGCAGACCTTCTCAGATGTGCTTGAGCTGGAAGAGCAGGACACCTGGCTCCGGGGGCCGCCCTCCTCCTCCTCCTCCTCCTCTTCTTCCTCCTCCTCCTCGTCCGCTTCCTCCTCGGCTTCTTCCTCCTCGGCTTCCTCCTCAGTGCTTTCCCGCTCCTCCTCCTTGTCAGAGGCTGAGGATGAGGGTGAGGTGGTGGAGGACCCAGAGGATGAGGACCCAGACGAGGACGAGGACACTGACAAAGACTCCTTCTCATCCTCCTCCCCGCCACTGTCCAGCTCCAGTGGCCGAGCTGGCCGCCGCCGCACGCCCACACCCTTGGGGTCCCGCTTGGCCAGCTCGCAGGGGGCATCTGCCATGTCTCGGTCCCGCTCCCGCTCAGACTCTGTAGGAAGAGAGGACAGTCTCAGCCAGGAAGGGGAAATGGGGGCAAAGGGAACCCCAGCCCCCAGTAAGAAGTTAGAGGTGACCAGGCGCAAACCTTCGTCTTCTTCATCCACAGAGGTTGAGGGCCGAAGGCGCTTCTGGTCACCAGATGATGCTGTGTCTGGTGGCTCCTTCCTCTTGACCTTGAAGGAAGGCAGGCGAATGGCCCCTCGCAGCCCAATGCCCAGGCCCAGGCCCTCATAGCCCAGGCCTTCGCCTTTGCCCCATGACTCCAGCAGACATGAGGCAATTCGGTCCTTGGGCTTTGGCCGGTCCTCGTCCTTGTGCTCGCCTGACTTCACAGGGGTCAGCGAAGCCTGGGATGGGAGAGAAGCAGGGAATTGCCATGGTTGGAACATTGCTGCTGACCCCAGAGGCCCACTCCCTGAGTGGCAGTGACAGCAGTCTCAGGTGACAGGGAGCCTCCTGTCTGCACTCCTGGCATGCAGTTCACCTTCCTCAGGAGGCACCAGAGCCCCACTCTGCCTCACTGACCTGCGCATCCTCACCTGCAGGGTGGGCTACTCAGGACAGAGGCCTCCAAATTTAGAGACGAGACTCCAAAAGCAACACATCCTCACTGGAGGTGTGTAACCTACACCATGGGGACGCAAGTCTCATAAGTAAGATTTACACTGTCCTTATTTTTCTGTTCTTTTCCAATGCATTAAAAACAATACCCACGGACTTTACTTGGCCCCTGCAGTTCCAAAACGCTGTGCCTTTGAGGGACGTTTTAAAATGAGCCATATTAAAAGCTTCACATCGGGCAGGTCACCGAGGCATGGTGGCTCCTTTCATTCAAATTGTTCTTGGTAGCTATTAGAAGCTGTTACTATGACTCATCTGGTAGGGCCAATGTAATCAGGGTGAACCACAAAGCATCAGACATCAGAGATGTCAGGTGGCTCATTCTCATTTTACTGTTCCATCTTACAGATGAGGAACGGGCTCTGACAAGTGTGCTTACCTGGACTGCAGAGAGCAGGCTCTTAGTCACAGCAGCATTTCCCAAAGCGTGCTTGGCGGGAGGGGGATAGCAAAAGTGATAACCCTGGTCACCTCTGGGGACGGGGGTAGAGGGGACTGGGCCTGAGGGTAGTGACTGAGAGGATTTTAAGATAGTGAGAGATGCTGCGCATGACAGCATGCAGCTATGGCCCTAGCTTCTTGGGAGGCTGGGGTAGGGGCATCGCCTGAGCCCAGGAGTTTGGGGCCAGCCTGGGCAGCATAGCCAGACCCCATCTCTAAAAAAAGAGGAAAAGAGGAGCGGCAACAGTTACTGCTGGTCTATGAGATCACCAAGGACATCCACTGCGTAGAGAGGAAAAGCTCTCCCACCAAGACAGGTCTCTACCAAAGGCCACCCAGGATAAGGCGGGAGCCAAGCCCAGTGTGCTTTGGTGTGGCCCACCTGTGCTGCTGGGCACATGGTGCCTCTGTGCTGTCCCAGGAGGTGGCCATTGGGCACGTGAGAGTGCTGAGCACTTGAAGTCTGGTGAGGGGAACGAGGAACCCAATTCACACTTTCATTTCAACCAATCTAATCGAGCGAGTGGACTAGTGGGCACTGTTGACAGTAGTCAGTGGCCCTCTCCAAGTGCCAACCAGTCCATCGCCCCACACAGGGATGCAGATGGCAGTGTATCTGTCACACACCTTGCAGAAGGGGGCACCTGGCCAGGCTCCTGCCCCACCCCCACTGGCCACCTGGGGTGCTCTGCACCCACCTACCCACCTTGGCCATCCGCTCCTTCTTGTCCCACCACTCGTCAAAGGCCCGGAAAGCCACCACCTCCACCATCTTGCGATTCAGGTCACGCTTCATGATGGCCTTCAGCTCCTTGAGCACCACCAGTAGGACGCCATCCACTGTGGCCTTGTGCGGGTCCTCCTGACGTGGCACATAGCCTGGTGGCGGCACTGACGGGTCAAACTTGGGCAGGGGTGGCCAGGGCTGCCCACGGCTTGGGCCACTGCTGCTTAGGGAGAAGGGGCCCCGGTAGGGCGGCAGGTTGACAAACTGTAGCCCAGCTGAAGCGGCAGCGGCTGCAGCGGCCATGAAAGGTGGGTAGGGACAAGCGCCCTGGCCTGTCATCAGACGGCTCAGCATCTGCGTTTGCATCTGGAAGGACATGGGCATGCCACCCCACTGGCCGCCCAGCACGTGGCTCATATCCACCTGCATCACAGGAAACAGCCCTGGTGGAAAGGGCGGCAGGGGCGGCAGGATAGGTGGCGGGGGGACGCCAGGCGGTGGCGCTGGCAGGGGTGGTGGGGGCACGGTCACTGCAGGATGGGCTGGTGGTGGCGGTGGTGGGGGTGGAGGCAGAGGTGGGGGCATGGGGAAGCCGGGCTGGGGCGGGGGTGGGGGTGGGGGCAGTGGTGGGAAGCCGGGTGGCGGGGGCAGCGGCAGGGTAGGGGCCAGCACATTGGGGCCTGCCACAGCTGCTCCCCCTGCGGTCACCACCATGGGCTTGGGGCAATCGGCACTGGTGATGGGGGCTGAGGGCATCTCGTCGTCCGAGATCTCCATGTCCTCGCCTGAGGACTGCTGGCCCTGCGGAAAGAGCAGAGAGGGCAGTGAGCAGGGGAGGGTGGCCAAGCAGCTCCAAAGGCCTCCTGAGTATCCAAAGGCAAGATGGATCAGCAACATGGGCTCCCAGCAGTGTGACCTCTCCCAAGTCACTCAGCCTCTCCAAGCCTAGTTTCTCCATGTGCATAAAGGACAGGAGAGCACCTGCCTCTTGGGGTTACCATGGGGATCTGAGCAGTCACTCATTTAACACATGCCCAGCACCTGCCTGCCAGGCACCTCTGCTACGCAGGGACACACACAAAGGTGACCACGCAACACATAAATCTTGCTCTTGTGGCACTGAATTTCTAGAATTCAGAAGACAGCCAGAATGAAGGCAGGAAGTACATCATGGAGAAAAGGAAAGGGGTAGGGTGGGGGCAGACAGAGGGAAATAGCTTCTGTTTCAATTTGAGGGATTGTTTCAATGTGTATTCAGAGAAGGTGATATTAAGAGTTAACACTTCTGTAGTGCTTCCTATGTGCCAGGTAACTTTACATATATTAACTCAGTTAATCCTTAGAACAAACCTACAAAGTAAATGTTATCTCCATTTTTACTAATGAGGAAATTGGGGCACAGAGAGCTTAAGCAACTTGCCCAAGGCTTCACAGCCAGTAAGAGACAAGCCAGGATTCAAACCAGGAAGTGGCTCAGTCAGACTGCTGTCCTCACTCTGGCCAGGAGTCTGGAGCAGAAGGTGACATGTGAGCCAGGCTTGGGTGTGTGAGTGAGTGGGTTTAGCAGCATTAAGGACTCGTAAATAGGAATCTGCTCTGCACCCAGTTTTGTGGATGCACCCATTGCAGGGTGGAGAGCACCTTACACCCTTCCCCATCTATTCTTTTTTTCTCCTGCAGTACTGGGGATTGAACCCAGGGCCTCACTTGTGCTAGGCAAGTGCTCTACCACTGAGTTACAGCCCCGGCCCCCCACATCTCACTTCTTATATGAAGAAGAGCCCAAGAACCTTGTGACCTGGGGGCCCACTAGGATCCCTCCAGACAAGTGAGGAAACAGACCCAGCAGGGGCACGGTCTGTCAGAAATAGGGCCAGGACCACCCTCCAGACACCCATCCCACAGGGACTATGGCTGGAATGCAGAAATGGCTGGATTGGGGGAGGGGGCAAGGATGATCGGGGTCACAGATGACCAGGGAGGGCCCTTTACTATAGGATCCAGTGCACAGGCTTGATCCAGTGGGAGGCCCCAGACTGGGTTCCTCCTGGTGTAGGTGGAGTGAGAAGCTAGAGAAGGGGTGGAGATGAGAGGGAGGGGCCACCCCTGGCTCTTGTGTGGCTCAGGCCCTGGCTTGGATGAACAGGCTGAAAAGGAAACAGAACTTGCTTTTTTTTTTTGGTTAGGCTGGGGATGGAACCCAGTGCCTTGCAGATCTAGTGACTGCTGAGCCATGTCCCCAGCCCCCAGCTTGGGCTTCTATAGGCTGAAAGAAGGCGTGCATCGGAAGGCTGAGGGGATGCGGTCTGTGTAGGATGCAAAGCCAGAGGTCAGGCCTGTTCAGGCCTCCAAAGAAAATGGGAGGGAGGGAAATACCAAACCTATATAAGAAGCAGGAAGCCCTGGATTTTACTAGGCACCCTACAAACGTACGCGCGTACATGCGCGCACACAGACACACACACACACACACACACACACACACACACTCCCCCTCTTCAAAGTAGCCTTGCACTTGAGGAAAGGACGGGCAGGTTGGGCTAGATATCGGGAGATAGCTCCCCAGGACATCAGTCCTGGGCAGCAGTGAGCAGGTGAGCCAGGCCAGAGCAGCACACAGAGGGTTAACCCAGGCCACTGCAGCCAGCCAATCACAGGAGCCCCAGCAGAACTCCAGCCCTTGCCCAGCCCCTTGGCTGAGCTGGGCTGGGGCTGCTTCCTAGCAGCAGGGTTCTCTCAATCTGAGACGGAGGCAGGTGCTCTCACCAGCCCATTTAACAGATGATGAAACTGAGATGCAGAGAGGGAAAGTGCCTCTCCAAGGTCACATAACCCATAAGTGACAGAACCGAGGTTTAAGAACTGAAGCCCATGCTTTTCAGCAGCCTCTGGGAAGCAGGAACCCTCCCCTCCCACTGGCCCCTCTGGGTTGCTCCCTAGCCTCAACCCCAGCCTAGGCTGCGACTGAGCACAGCACTCCTAGCTCTCCTACACAGCACACCAGCCCCAGGATCCCCATCCTGCTCTACCCACTGCCAGCAGGGGGCTCCCGAGGGCTAGCCTGGAGCTCAACCGTGCTCTGGACTTCCGTCCCCAGGCGCCAGAGTCCCCCCAGACTCCAGGTCTCAGGTTCTCACTTTCTCCTTGCCTTAGGCAGCCCAGTGGAAGAGACCCTGTCCACTGGTGACTCTGGGCTTCTCAGCCCTGGACCGGCTCGTCAGCATGGCGAATGCCCCAGCTCCAGGCAGCCCAGAAGGAGGGGTTAGGGCCAGCAGCTCTCCACCTCTGCACACCTGTCAACTCCCCCTGCCTGGACCACTTACTGCCAGAAACCACTTCCCCAGAACTGCCTGGAGCCCCAGCCACCTGCAGCCCCTTCCCGGGGAGGCCAAGTTCCTCTCTGTTCCTCCCTGAGGCAGCCAAACCGGCCTCATCAAAGGGCCCAGGAAGGGGGGACTCTCCTCCCTGCTGCCCACAGGGGTACAGAGCTCCGACTGTGCCCCTGGCTGCTCATGCCTGCCTGGCCCACAAACTCCAAGACAGGTGTCTAGGAGGGCCAAGGCATGGGCCTCCACCAGGAGAGGAGAGGGCGGAGCCAAGTCCAGGAGGGTGACCAAACCCTCTCCTAACCTGGCAGCACCCTCACCCCAACCCCTGGGTGGAACTTTCTGGGGCTGGAAGTTTGGGCAAATGAGACCAAGGTGAAGTGAGGAGACAGCGGGGACAGTCAACTATGCACACTTCTGGCTACTGTCCCCTAAACCAGTCTTTAACTCCTTCCCTTGAAGAGGCCAGGAGACAGGGAAACTCACCTGCCTCGCAGGCTTCCCCATCTCTTAAGAGGGCACAGGCTGTAAAAGACAGTACTCCAGAGCTTCCACTGGCCTGGCTCAGCACAGTACCCTGGCTAGTCCCTCTCCTCGCTGCCTGAGCATCAGGACCAGCCCTGAGCATTCCTAAGCCGCAAAACAAAGAGGGGGGCCTAGGGACTGGGGATATAGCTCAGTTGGTAGAGCGCTTGCCTCACATGCACAAGGCCCTGGGTTCAATTCCATCATCACAGCCATCAGCACAACCATCATCACAGCTCACACCCTCTAGAGGTCTCTGCAAACTCCATCAAAGCAGCTCAGGTCAGCAGGGCACAGTGGCACACGCCTATAGGATTGAGAGTTCAAAGCCAGCCTCAGCAACTTAGTAAGGCCCTCTCTCAAAATAAAAAATAAAAAGGTCTGGGGATGTAACTCAGTGCCCCTGGGTTTAATTCCCAGTATGGGAGAGAGGGGGCGGGAGGCAGCTCAGGGGAAAATTTATCTCATGGAAAACTCTTAACTCCCCTTATAAAGAGAGCAACAGAACTCAACCATGTTCTCCTTTTCTCCCTGGCTGCTAGGGAGCTCAGAGCCAAACCAGCTGCTTGATCAGTCTCTGGAGCTTTTCCCATCCTTTTTTTATTTTCTAAATTCAATCTGTTATATTGGCTTCTCTATTGGGGAAGGCATTGGCCTCCTAACCCTTTTGCTTCCAGGTCTTAACTAGTTATCCTAAATGTTTTAAGGGGAGAAAAAGTGGGACAGAGATAGACAAATCAATCCCAGATAGATGGACAGACATGGTGGTACCTCATCCATCTTCTCTGAGGTCGGGGTCCCGTCTCCAGCCAGATCCAAGGCCACCTCAGCTGACTGGCCCAGAAAACCAGTAGGGTCTGGGGGGCCTGGCTCAGGTGGGGGTCGAGGCCCCAGGCCCACGTCCAGCTCATCATCCTCATCGGAGTCAGGCAGAGGCGTGGGGCTGATGTCCTCTAGGCCCGTGCTGGAGGGGCGTGAGGACGGGGGTGAGGGGCCGCGGAAGCCCGGCTGGGAGTTGGTGCCGAAGGGGGCCAGTGGGGAGAGCTGGGAGGAGGAGGAGGAGATGGGGCTGCCCTCCATCTGCAGCTCGGCGTCCGAGTCCTGCTCCCGCAGGAAGGGCAGCTTAGTGCGCTGCTCCTTCAGCAGCATCTCGATGCGCGAGTCCAGGCTGTCATGGGGCTTCTCAGGCCCCGCAGGGGATGACTCCAGCGTGGGTGTGCCAGGGCTGTCACAGGGCTCAGGACTCCAACCAAAGGTCGGCCGGCCGCCTAGCTCCATGCTGTTGGTGTCGGGGGGCGGCGGGCCAGGTGGTGTGCCTGGCTTCTCCTTGGCCAGAGGCTCAGCAGGTGGCAGGGGTGGAGGTGCAGGTGCCCTCCGGAACTCCCCACTGTCACGGGCCCCAAAGGTGGCTGTGGTGGTGGGCTCCTCGGGGGGCAGGGGGAAAGGGGGTGCTGGGGTCTGGTATGGAGAGAAGGCCGACTTGAATCCAGGAGTGGGGGCTGCTTGGGCAGGCGGTGGAGTGTGGGCAAATGTGGCTGAATCCTGCGGTTGGGCCTTGAAGGGAGGGCCACTGCTGCCCCCACTGCTGCCAACTGCCCCAAATGGGAGGTCCGAGGAGCCCCGAAAGGGAGCTGCGGCCCCGGCCACTGCAGCCACTGCAGCAGAGTTGTGAACATAATGATGCTCGTGGCGGCGATTGTAAGCATCGGTGAACTTGCTCTCGTGGCGCCGAGCCTTGAAGGTCGCTGTGGGGTCTGGGCCGAAGAGGTAGGAGGGTGTGGGCTGGCGGCTGGAGTAGCTGGAGTCCTGCGAGAAGGGGGTGCCCAGGCGCGGTGTGAGTGGGGTGCCTTGCCCATAGGAGTTAGGCGTGTCCAGGCGGCAGCTGGAGTAAGCCGTGTCCTGGGAGAAGGGGGTCCCGCCACTATTGGGGGTGACGGAGGAGGAGCCAGAGCCACAGCCCGCAGACAGGCTGCCATCCTTGAGGCGCTTTAGGGCATCTGACAGCTGGGAAGAGAGAGGGAGAAAGGTGAGATCTGGCGTGGGCTCGGGCGGGTAGGCTTCCTTTCTTATGCTGGGACCCACAGCCAAGTTGCTCTGTGGCACAAGGAAAGAGGGTCTTAATGTTACTCTGTTCATTCTTAGCAAATCTTGGGGACTATTCCTACTCCCAAAGGCAGAGTAAAGGAAGACCCTGCCATCTTGGTATAGGCTGGGATGTTCTTCTGGTCGGCGGCTGTCAGGCACTGAGGACCTTCTAGGCAGAAGTATGATTGAGAACTAGGGTTTGGGGATTGAGTGGCTGTGGGCTTGGTTCTGTCCCACACTGTGGGTTGAAACAGTGTGACATGGGGAAAGCACCTGAAGGACACTCTGGCTGACTGAGCTCTGCCCTCCTGACCGCACTGGCTGATCCAAGGGAGGAGCTGGGATGGCCCAGTGAGTGTTCTAGGAGGTGGGGGTCAGGGAAACAGGGCCTGAACTCTGTTTTCTGGGGACAAAGATAGAGGGGGATGCAGGCAGCACCCACCAGGGCCTTGGGCACAGCAGTGTTTGAGCATTGGTGTGGAAAAGCATCCCCAAGCCTGTGGACCCCACCTGTGCTGGGGGAGGGCTGGAGGGAGGGGCCTAGTGGGCTCAAAGCCACAGGAACAAGGCCGAACCCAGGGGAGCTGCACTGAATGAGCTTGGAAAAATGGGGCTTGTAGACCCCACTCTGAACCTGTGGTGGGTGTGGCAGGCTCATTTACCTCCTAGGCCTTGGTCTCCAAGACTGGTGATAGTGAGCTGGGGGCTGAGGCGGGGGTCTGATCAGGAAGTTGAAAGCTTCCAGAGGTGGGGGGACATGACGGAGCTGGTGATGGGAGAAGTGGTTGTGATAAACCCACCTGTAGGGTCTCATTCACAATTGGAGAGACAGCATCCAGCTCACCCACTGGGAGGGTCTGGGGGGTGTATCGGCCGGTAACCAGCAGTTCGTAGAAGCGCATGCGGGTTTCTCCTGTGATGAAAAGGGCAGGGGCATTCAGCCAGGCTCCAGGATGGGTCACTCCCCACAGGTCTCTAAACTATTTGGGATCCTTGTGGGTCCTGTATGTCTGGGATCCCAGGCCTGGGGAAGCTGCGTGACCCCTGACCAAGTTCCTATCCTCCCTCCCCTTGCACCTCACTCAAGATCCTCATCTGTTCAATGAAGCTTCAAAACTGATATTTCTTATCTTGAGTCTCAGAATTTAATGCCCTGGCTAGGACTCCTCCAAATTCAGAGTTGTCAAGCCCAGCCAAAGTCCCTTCCCATTACCTGGGCCATGGTGCCAAAGAAAGAGTACCCTCCTCCCCCACCCCTGCTTTTTTCACCTTCCCACTTAACAGCCGGAGCTTATAGCAAGGATGGGGGAAGTCCGGTGACACAGAGGTGATACTTTGTTAACTATCTGGGGCCAGGTGACAAGCAAGTTTGCAAAACACATTCTAGTAGCATATTACTGTGAACTTTGCACTGACTTCCACTAGCTGAGGACCCAGGACCAGAGTTTGCTTGGGGACTCTGCAGGGTACTGTCCAACCGAGCCCCACTGGACCCCATGAGGAACTTTCCACCCCTCAGCAAAGAGGTCTTCACAGACCAGGGCCCCAGATTACTGATATTTATAGAACCTCAGAGGCAGCTGGCTGCATATGCAAAGGAGACACATTCCTTGAGCTACACTTTACTCTTTGCTGGTCTCTCTTGAAATACAAACTTAGGTGGCAGTCTCTGCAGGCCGTTTCTTTCCCCCTCTTTATTTTTACTTTTATTTTTTTCAGAAATAGAATTATGGTGAGACCTGACTCCTTAAGTGATGGGAACAGACTGCTGACTTGATTCTCAAGGGGAAATCAGACTGCAGCCACCCAAGGGGGTAAAGTCCATAGGCCCCTGCCCACCCAGAGACTGAGGAGCCAGGGAAACGAGGGGAGGGGCTGTGGATTGGATGAAAACCTCAGGCTTGTACCCTGAGGAGAGGTACATCTAGAAATAGGGTCAGCAATTGTGGATGGGGTAGTCAAAATACCCAGCATGATCTTAGACTCAATTAATATGTATTAATTATTAAAATCAAAACAACAACAACAAAAATGGTTTAGATTTCCCTATTTTGGTTTGGTGTACTCAGATGCCTGCCAAACCTTGTGCTCACAAAACCCCCGGAGCTGTTGCACCTAAGTCCTCCCAGGCAGGGTTCCCAGGCGGCCCCAGAGAGCTGGGGATCTAACAGGGCTATCTGGTCCCAGAGCAGCTGGCACCTCCTTTCATATAGGTGGGAACTTCTTAGAGAGGTCACAGGCAAATTTTGGGAGACACCCTCTGAGCCGTGTAAGACCCTCCAGCCAGCATCCAGGGGAGTCTAGGCAACCCAGGGATGGGAGGTGTGGCTCCCCAGCCTGGCTGTGAATCAAGCGGGACTCTGTTCCGAAGTTGCTGCGGTCTCTTTAAGAGAGAGGAGGGAAGACAAAGTGTCAACCCTTGAGCACCCAGAGCAGCCCGCCCCCTTCGCCCTATCGGGAACATTATCAATGAAACAACACTTCTAGCTCAGATTGGTTCAGGGGAAGGGGTAAAGGGGGAGGGGGTATCCATCCTTAAAGGATTCACTTTTCAGTTGAGGGACCTTCTCTTTTCTGTATTTAAAGGTACCTTAGCAGCTCTTCCTCAGTTCTCCCACACACACACACCAAATAAACAAATGCCTCCTCCTAACACAGGCAGCAACACTGGGGACTGCTAAACCCAGGCCACCGGGACTCTGAAACGGGCCCACAAGGGGGGTGTCAGCAGTGGGGAAGCCTCTTGGTAGTCTCTAGGGGTGCAGTGGCCAAGAACCAGCACATTTGGTAAATTATAGCCTGTCTCTTAGCAACAGACAACACATTTAGCTCCATGTGACTCTACTCTCAGGAGGGGTCAAATATATATATATACACATATATATATAAAGTTGTGGGAAGGGATCCCAAGGAAGAATGAGAGGCTTCCCCAACAGTGTAGAGGAAGCTGGTGAAAGGGGTCAAGCCTACAGGAAGCCTTCATCTCTGCCCCCAGGCCCCAGCTGGCTCCCACTAACCTTTGGTGTCCAGCTCCACGTGGATGATGTTGCCCATGACCGAGGTGCTGTGCAAATGCTGAACAGCCTCCTTGGCTCCCCTGACTGTGGCAAAGACCACCTTGGCAATGCCCAAGTGCTTCTTGGTCTTGGGGTTGTACAAAATCTCCACCTCCTCCACCTCCCCATACTTCTTGCACATGTCCCTCAGGAAGTTTTCGCGGATGTTATCATTCAGCTTGGCAAATGTCACCTGCTTAGGAGGCACCGGGCCCACGTAGAACTCATCGATCTGGCAGGGGCCGAGGGGGAAGGGAGTTTGGAAAACATTGAAACCGAAGGAAAAACACAATATTTCCCACTCCCCCAGTGCTTAAAAACAACGAAGGGTTAAATTTAAAAAAATTTTTTTTTTTTTAAAATGCACGCGGGCGGGCCCGGGAAGCAGAGGATTAAATCGTTTGGAACGTGGAAGTCCTCTGGGTTCGGAAGGAAAGGGGAAAAAGAAACAGTTTCTCTTTCCCCACCCCCCCATTCTGGCCTCCCCTCCTTGCTCACCGGTCAGGGGCGACCCCTTGGACTAGGAAGTTGTCCCCCCAAAGTCATTGGGCTGGGAAGGGGGGCGGGTCCCGGGGCCAGGCCTCTGGGTAGGCAGGAGCCAGGTGGGGACCCAGAGCCCCCAGCTGGGCGTGCAGGACACTGTATCAGCGCCGTGATAACAGTTTCACCGAGTGTTATTTTGTTTACAGTGGCCGGGAGGGGGACACCCCACTCCCCCTCCCCGCCAAAACTTCCCAGCCCTGGACGGCGGGAACTCAGAATCCGGCTGGGCTTGGTCAGGGCTGGCGTTATTTTCGAACTCGGGGAGGGAGGGGGAGGGGTCCTACCTTGAATTTGGGCACCGACAGCTCCAGCTCCTTGTTTTTGGTCCAGATCCCGACGACCCGGGGATCTTCGACAATTTCCACCGGGCGGTTGCTGGACATCTGCGGAGGGGATGGGGGGAGGAATGGGCGGGCTGGTCCCCTCCCCAGGGGCAGAGGCAGACCCCCTTCCCCAGGCCATGGTCCAACTCCAGGAGTGGGGCCCCGGCTGACAGTTGGCCGGGTGGTGGGCAGCGGGGTGCCGGCCGCTCGGCCCCGGGGGGCGGTGGGGGCGGCGGGAGGCGCGCCGGCTACTCACCGCCAGGCTGAAATGCTGCCCATCGTAGCGGTACAGTTTATGATGCCCCTTTTTCAGAGCCGGGTCAATCATCAACTTGTAACTTCTCCAATGGTGGTTCCTCCTCTCGCCCGAAGGGCCGGGCTGCGGCGGGGGCTGCTGGTGGTGGTGGTGGGGGGGGTGACTGTTCTCCATGCCGTTAACCCAACCTGAAAACCAGCAAGTTGTTGTCGTCTCCGCCGCGGCGGCGGCCGCTTCTACACACACGCGAAAGAATCAGATCGGCCGGCCCCCACCCCCTCCCACCTTACCAGCGCGCCCCGAAAGGAGCTGTCTCGCTGGCTCCCCCCAAAACGAGAATGGAGCGAGAGAATAACCCTTCCGGGAGAATTACGCGCCCGCCCGCTCGGCCACCGTCTCCGGGAGGCAGCGAGGGGCTCCCGGGGGCCCCCGGTGCGGGCTGGCGGGGCCCGGGGCGCCCGGAGGACGCGGACTCCGGCCCATGGTGCCCGCCCGGCCGCCCGGCGTGGCGCTCGCTCGCCCGCTCGGCCCGGCTCGGGAGCGGGGCTCGCGGCAGGCCTGGCGCCGCCCGCCCGCTCGGGCCGGGGGCTCGCGCCGCCCGGCTGCTGCCCGCGGCCTCTCCCTCCCCAGCCGCGCTTACATCCCCGCCGGGCGCCGGCCTCCCTGCGCCGCCAGCCAGTACATGGTGTCCCCCGCGGGAGCCGAGGCCGGGGCGGCCGGACCGGGGGCCGGGAGGGGGGGTCGCCGCCGCCGCGGCTGCCGGGCCCGGAGCTGCCGCCGCCGCTGCTGCTGCTGCTGCTGCTGCCCGGGAGGCGGCTGGCGGCGGAGGCTCGGCTCCCAGTAGCCGCACATCCCACAATACACCGCTAAGGAGCCCGACCCGAGCGCTCACCCTCCTCCTCTTCCTCCTCCTCCTGCTCTTCCTCCTCCCCTCTCCTTCCTCGCCGCTTCCCCAGGCACTCTCCCGGTGGCGGCAGCTGCGCCGCCAAAGCCCCGGGCCCCAGCGGCCCCCCACCCCTCACTCGCGCGCTCCCACACTGCCTCCCCCCTCCCGGGGGGGAAGGCCTTTTAATTTATTTATTCTGCTGGGACTGAGGTGGGGGGCTTGGCTGGCGGGGGAGGGGGGTCTCCCTTGGCTCTACCTCCCGCGGCTGGGGCTACTCTCCGAGCCGCGGCTGCCACGGCGTGCGCCTCGGGCCTCCCAAACTGTTTCTAAACTGCCAAGACTGGAGGTGGGCGCGTGGGGACTCGGGGAGAAAAGATGAGTTTTGGGGGAGGCGATTGTGTGTTTAGACGCTGGGAGCCGTGGGGGGAGGCAGACGTCGACCTAAGACGAGTTGCAATCGAGGTATCTCCGCTCCGGCTTCCTCTTCTGCCCGGCGACCCCCTCCCCCCGGAGCTGAGCTGGGGAAGGGAAACCAGGATTTTAACCACATTAGCATTCACATTCCTGGGAGGATGCAGCCCTCGTCTGGACCTGAGTGATAGAAGCTATTTTCTCTGTTTTTATTTTTGGAGGGGAGCGCCCTGTAATTGTCCTGAACACATGCTTCTCGCCCCACACCCCCGGCTCCAGCCACCAACGAAAGAGAGTCCCCCTTTTTTGCATTTATCTTTTCCTTCCCCTTTCTTTATTAAAGGTCCGGGAGTGGTGGTGACCAATCAGAGCGCGGCTTCCATTTTGTGAGTTCAACTCGGAGGCTCCAGGGCTTCGCGAGGACGCGTTTGCAGCCCCCTCTGCCTCTCCTCTCGGGCGGCTCAGGCGAACGAACCGTCTCGTTGGGGCTTCGTGGTCGTGTATTTCATATTGGGGCTCTTTTCGGGGTTTGTAATTTGGCCGTGGGTAGGTAATTGGCTGGAGCAGGGCGGCAGGGCGCGGCAGCCAATCAGCGCGTGGCTTCTATAGGGCTTGAGTTATTAGACGCTGATCTCAAAACATCCTTCATCAGACACCAAGGAGAGGCCAACAGATGAGGGGAGCCATTTTTCTGCAATGGAATTAAATGGCCAAGTGTGTTTTTCCTTTGTTGCAAGTGGGGAATGTTTTTCCTTTGACTCCACCATCCAGTTCAGGACGCCTGAATGTGTTGTTTAACATTTGTCAACAGGCTAAAGGACTCACTATTGGAAGAATGAAGAAGACCTTTTAAAAAGATCTGGATTTTTCCTTATGACTTGGAATCCATCTTTGTCTTGTATAACTAGGTCATAGCACACCATTAATGTCAGCAGTTAACAGTTTTGAATTCCAAAAAACCTAAGTAAATTACATATTTAATTTTTTTCCTCTTTTTTCTTGGGTGGGTGGGGGGAGCTTGGAGCTGTCTTAATCTGTATTCTCTTTAAACAATAAATTTTTAAATATAGTTTCCTCTATTAAACACTTATACCTGGCCATCTTATTAACTCCTTCTCTCTTTTTAACAAGGTAATGTTTTAAATGTATAGTTTTAGGACTAGCGAAATGGCAGCAACAACAACAAAAAATTGTGAGCAGTTGTTACTCTTTTAAGTTTTTAAAAACCTTTTACATTGTAAGTACCCAATCCATTCTGTCCTTACGCAGTGCAGTTTTCATGTAAATGTTGGCTGAGATGTCCTTTAATTTTGCGAACCTTCATCTGCATGTATGTCTTTGTCTCTCTTGTCTAATATAAGCCAGTTAAAATGCTTTTAGACGATTTTGCTTTTATAAAGCTAAGGTTTTTAGCTTCAAGCTTTTGAAAATGTTTACAGCAATAAATGCTAGTCAGCTTTCTTCCCAGTAACGTGTACACTTTCTTTGAAAATCGATATATTTGAAGAAAAACAGCTCTTGTTTTTTCTTTTCTTGGTGGGGTGGGGGGGGGTAGGGAGAGAAAGGAAGACCTTCTCTTTGTGTAGAAAGACTAAAGCGGTCACAGGAAACTAGATTAAAACTGGAAAACAAGTCCTAGCTGGTTCGAGCCAAACACCAACGTTAACTCGGTGGTATTTTCTATGGTGGTTGGGATGGCTGTTGCGCTTTTGCCTTTTGTTTGACTGTGTGTTTTCGCCTTTTGTCTCTTAATGACGATCACACCATTGCTATATCCAGAGCAGTAAACAGTCCTCTGCGAAGCCGACTTTTTGCCAACCCAACACTGGAAAATGCAGACGTGGAAGGAAGCAGAAAATGCCATGAGAGTATAACTTACAAAAAGGTAACAGCAAAAAAGACAATACCATAAACCCAAATTTTCCCAACTAATCAATCAAAAAAAGTGTTTTTTATAATAATGTCTCCAAAACAACCGCCCAGCTTCTTCTTCTAGACTCCATGGCATCTGGCTGAGCGGGTAAGTAAAAAAAAAAAAAAAAAAAAAAAAAAAGTGCCTTTTGCCCCTTCGAGGAAATCCTTTATTGAGCAGGCCAAGGGCTGCAAGTGTTTGGGAGCTGAGGGGAGAAGGAGGTTTCTGGAGCTTTGTGTTTGGCAGCCAGAGCGGAGTGCGGGGACGAAGGGGGTTCTTAAGACCCCTTTGCCTCTCCGGCCCCAGAGGCCAGAAGAGGGTCTCCCCAGCGACGCTCGGGCATCCGTGGAGCCGCCTGCGCTCGTCCCCCGGGCTCTCCCAGGGTCGAGCCTTGGTGGGGAGAAGACATCGAAGTGCTTTGGAGACAGGGTCTCAAAAAACGAGGAAACCTCCCCACCCGGTCGAGGGGCTCTTTCCCTCTTGATTGTGGGGGTTTTGCACCCCGAAGCCGGCTTTCCGGGGCGCGCCTGTGCTTCCCAGGCGAGCAAGGACAAAAGGCCGGCGTCCATGTTGGCACCATGACGCAGCATCTCTCCCGCCTGCAGCCCGGCGCTGCCTGTCCTCCCGGCCGCGCTCGCTCCTCCCTCCCAAACACGAGTTTTATTTTCAGGTTTCGAGCAGCAGAGCCGCGGGCTGGGCCGGGCTGCGGCTGCGGCTGCGGGCGGGCGGGCCCGGGCGGGCAGGGTTGCGCTGGCTAATGGCGGCCGCTCTTCTCTTCCTTCCTCCCCCTGCTTCCTAGCTCGTTGGGCACCTGGAGCGGGTGGCGGGCCCGAGGCCCGCTCGGACCCGAGATCCCGCAGGGCATGGCGCCGGGGACGCGGGCCCGGCACGTGGGGCCCGTTTCGGGGGACGCGGGCCTCGGGGGCGTCGCGCGCGTCGGCTCCCGCGCTCGCCTCCTCAGGGCGCGGCGGCCAGGCGGGCGCCATTTCGTGCGCCGCCTGAGGCTCGGGCGGTGGCGGCCTCCGAGCGCCAGGCTGGAGGAGGGGAGGGAAGGTCTGGCGAGCCGCCGCCCGCGTTCCAGGCCGCCGGGGGCGGAGACCCGGCTCTCCGCAGCGGCCCGGGACTTGGAGGCCCACGCGGGCACGAGGCGGCCTAGCTACCTGGCCGGCTGCCGCGGCCCTTCCTCCCTCGCGCGCGGGAGCCAGTAGCAAAGGGCCACGGAGCCGGCGCGGAGGCCTCCCCGTGGCCCAGCCCTGACCCCTGGCCACCTCCCGCCGCCCACCCGGGCCTTGGCGTCGGGGCCCTGCCTCGCAGTCGCCCTTTGATAGCCGAACCAGAGGGGCGGGTCTCCCCCTTTTGTCCCCACAAGGGACATCAAGGCCTTCGCAGTGGCCGCGGACTCCCCATTTGGCCGCCCTGGGCACACCCCTCCGACCCAGCTCTCTTGCCAGGAGGTGGGGGTTGGGGCCTGGGAAAGCCGAGTGGGCCTCCCCGGGTTCCCCCCAGCGCCTGGGCCCTGGGGTAAAGCCTCAGATCTTGGCCTTCCTGGGGGAGGGGATGCCGACTGGGCGGGCCTTTGGAAATGCAGATGAGTTGCCTCCCGCTGCTCGGCGCCGGGGCTGAACCTAGGTGACTCAGCCACCCCCACCCCCCATCTATTCCAGGGTGAGGGCCGCCTTGGCAGCTGGGAAGCGGGGGTAGCATTTGTGAGGTTCCCTTTCCGGCTTGAAGACCCTGTAGGTTTGCATTTGGCCAGTTAATTCTCTGGCACGCGTTGGGGATTGCCGTAACAGGCCCTCGAAATTCTTCCCCCCAGGTTCTTGACCGGAGAAGGGGCCATGTCTTGGTACCCCAGCAGAGTGGACAATCCTTTCTTCTGGACAGCAGGAGCAGGCCTAGTGTGACTGACAGTCCTCCCACTGAGGTAGGTGAGAACCCTTTCCCAGGCTGTGAGGGCGATTTGGGGGCTTTGGCCTGACGCCCGGGGAGGGCGGGTTGGGATCCCCAAACCCGCTGGGCTGGTTCTGCGGCCCCTCCCCCACACAGATGCGGCGACTGTGTGTGAAATGGGCGGCCTGCTGGGTCTATCCAGCCCCTCCTGTTAGCTTCTGTTGTCAGGCATTTGGGGCGTGCAACTCTGCTGAATTTAGCAGCTAACTAGAGGCTGCACTTGCAAGTATTCCCCAGTTGTGTGTTTGTGGTGGGGGGAGGGCCTTGGATGCCTCTTGCTTCTGAGATGTCCTGGCCGCAGCCCCCTCTTCCTGCCTTCAATATGAGCCACCTCTGATGTCTGGTTGCTAGTGAGATGAAGAAGAAACAGGCATGAGATCTGGGCCAGCCTTCCCGGAGGTTTCCGTGACTCTTCCTGCCCTTTCCAGGGTATCCTCCTTGCTCCCCAATGGGCAGGCATGTGTAACCTGATTTCTAGTGTGAAACCTCTATGGCTATTTACCAGCTGTTACCTTGCATGAGTTACAGGGTCTCTGAGTCCCATTTTCTCCTCCACAAAAGTGGGGCTAGATCACGGCTTCTCAAACTTTCCGAAGGTGCCAGAATCCCGCAGGAGATTCATTAAAACCAACTGTCCCCGGTCTTTGGATTTCTGGTTCAGGTGGAGTGTGAGAACTTGCACTTCCAACAAGTTCTCAGCCAACATGTTTTGAGACCCTCTGTGCTAGGCAGCACCTGGGGTGTTGAGGTGCCTGGCAGGTAGCAGTTGTTCAGTGGGTGCAGCTGTATTCTAATACCAGCTGACCTTGGTTGTCAGCCCTCCTAACCGTCCTGGAAGCTCCACGGCTGGAGATGGTGTGCTCCTGATCTCTGACCCCTGCTTTAGTCTGTGATGACCCAACCGATTGGGTCCAGGTGCCTCTGCTCTTGGCCCCTGGCTTCCAAATTGAAGCAGCCCTGCCCTTCCCCCACCCCTGTGTGCCGGCTAAACTGACTTGGGGAATCCTATGAACTTAGTTGTAGGCATTTTGGTACTTAATCAGGGGAGGCTCTAAGACAGCCGTAGGTTGGAATCTGGATGGTGCGGGTGACCTTGAGCAAGCATCTCCCCTGTGAAATGATAGTAATGATGCATGCTGGAAAGGCCAGTCAGTGGGAGGAAAGGGGGCCGTCCTCCCCAGCCAGCTTCACAATATTCAGCCTCCATTGTGATCTGGGTTGTTGCTGGGAGTGGCTGCCTCGTGGGGGTTGGGCTGCCTCCAGAGCTCCTCCCCTGCCAGCCCACCTTTTAAAGCACGTGGGGACTCCTCCAGGCAGAGTGAAAAATGTTTTCCTTAGGAAGGCTGCCTGCTAGTCTCTGGTAGAGCCGGGCTGCTGGTAGAAACCTCTGATAGGATCATGATTTGGAGTCACCCACCAATGGCCCAGAGAAAAGTGACTTACTTGCCTAGGGTCAGGAGGCCACTACTGGCTCAGCCAGGATGGGGTTCCAGGTGTCTTGACTCTCAGCCCAGTGCTTGGGCCCATGGCACCCTGTCGCCCCAGCTGTCTGGGTTATTTTGGGCTCCCTCTGGTGCCAGCTGTCTGGCATCACTGCCCAAGAGCTGTCTGGTTGGAAGTAGCCAGCACAGTGCTGTTGGCTTCTCCTGGTGAGGGTCGGGTGGGTCTCCAGTCCCAGATGAGCTGCCCTTGATCCCTCTCCTTTGCTGGGAGTGGGGCTGTATCCCACTGGTCCCATTCTAATTCTAAATTTTTGTTAAAGAGACCAGTGCAAGGACCAGGCTGTGCCCCACTGGTCCTACCCCCCAGCCCTAGTGAAGGAAGAGACTAAAAGTGCTTTGACGAATTTGCTGTAGTTCCCATTGATGCCCATACCATAGTCACTTAAATGATAACCTCACTGAATTCCCTTGACTCACTGGGGTCTTTACTTCCCCCTGATTCAGATGCCTAAATGATTGATTTATGTCTTCCCCTTCCAGCTGGCCTAACAGCCAGTCCTTCCACTCCTACCCTTGGACCCTCACAAAGCAAGAAGGTGCTAAACTATAGTCTGGATGTGATTCTTGGAAGGTAGAGATGGCTCAGAGCAACGTGGAAGGATTGTGCCTCTCTCTGCTTCTGACTTTCCAGTACCTCCCTCTTCTTTCTTTGTCCCCACCTCCCTTCCCCTGGGACATGGAGGGGCGGGGCAGCCTGTCCTCCTATCATTCTCCTGGCTCTAAGAGAGGTGCTCCACCCACAGTCACCCAATGAGCTAGGGGCGGGCCTGCTCCAAGCAAGCCGGAGAGAAAGCCACGCCAGCGCCAGCGGAAGGGTTTCCGGGGCTGGGAGGAGGCTGGACTAACCTTACTACTGAGAGGATAGTGTCCCACCTCTTCCGGTCCCTGCACCAGGAGCCCTAGTGCTGAATATGACCTTTTAGACCCTCACCTTAGAGACCGATGACATGTAGCTGCCTGGACTGGGGAGAATGACATCCCACCATATAGGATCTCTTGACCCCAATGCTTTCTCCAGCCAACTTGTGACTACCTTTCACTTCCTGCCTATGTGAACTGGAAGGAGGAAGTTAGAAGGTAACCTGAGTTCTTTCTAAATTTTTGTTAAAGAGAGGGAATCTCACTTCATTGCCCAGGCTGGCCTCAAACTCCTGGGCTTAAGTGAGCCTCTGCCTCAGCCTCCCAAGTAGCTGGGACCATAGGCACATGCCACCTTGGCTTATGAGGGGAGCATTTTGTACTCCAGAGGTGACCTACCCATCCTCCACCTGCCCTCTAATGCTTATAGGCTGCTGAGGCCTAGAGGGAGTCCTTTAGCCAGGTGGATAGACAGCCTGCTTCTCCCAGGTATCCTGGCTTGGCCACCTGGATTCTCTGGGCCCTCCGGAAGTAGCTTAAAGCTCCTGTCTTTGGGCTGGGGGTGCTGGGATCTTTATCTTCCATTGTTATTTAATCATTGGGTGGTTAAACAATTTATGGTGCCTCAACACCCAGGGAAGTGGGTGCCCCATCCTAACTTGGACTGGCTGGACTTTGCCCTGAAAGATCAAAGTGGATCAGCAACCTCCACAACCCTACAGAGGCCTCCTTGTGGCTACAAAGGCCACCTGGTATCTCCTTGGGGCTTCTGTGTCCCCCAGCTCTTGCAGCAAGAATCAGCCTAAAGATTTTTTTCTTTCCCTCCTAAAACTCTCCAGGAATTCTTGGTGAGCGGGAGATTGACTTGGGTCTGGGTCCTCAGAACATCTTGCAGGTGAAGGAGCAGGCCTCTTGGGTGGGTGTGCCCAGCTCTGCAGCTGGCTTAGCCTGGCAGGCCTCCTCTTAGGAAGTTCTGAGCAGCTGGCTAGGCTCCTGGGTATTTTTAGCTACATATCCAGCCCCACCATTACCATGAGTCCTGGGTCCAAATCAAACACGCTCCAGGCTGGATGGGGCTGGGGCTCTGCCAGCCTTCTGACCAGGCAGGGGTGGGTGGGTAGGCAGGCAGTCTCAGGCCAGTGGCAGCTGTTCTCCCTGGGCCCAGGCAGGAGAATGCTGGTATTTGCTCCTTTCCTCCCTTGCATTTTGTGCAGGCTTGCTCTGTTGCAGAGATCATAGCCACATTTCTAGGACAAAGAGTGGATGAAGGATGAAGATACTGAGGTCTGAGGATGTTGAGAAATGTCAGCAGCCCTCCATGGTGTGTATTGTTAACCAGGTGTTATGAGCCTAAGTGAGTTCTCTCTTCCTGTCCCTATCTTTCCCTGAGCTTCAGGGTGCTGGGTGCAGCTGGAGGGGAGAAGCCTGGGGCCCCTGCAAAGGTAAGTGGTTCTCACCTCACCCCCTACTCCCCAAACTCACTGTTCATGGCACAGTTACTCCATCCTTGGTTGGCCCCCTCTTCCCCTGACAACCTTAGGGTGCCACTGAGAGACTGGCACCAGATCCAGCCCTGCGTTGCCAGCAAGCTGGCTCCTTCCTGGTCACCCTGGGATAACTCAGGCCTAGTTGTGGTTGGACTCCTCCCTTGTGCAGGAGCCTCCTTCCAACATCCCCCTTGAGCCTGGCAGTCAGGCCCTGCAGCATTGAACCCCTGTTACTTGTCCATGTGGTTTGGGTACTAACCCTTGAAAATGGTTCACCTGTGGCCCACTCCAAAGCCTCACCTGGTTGTCTCACTCCCCGGCCACTGCAGAACCTGAGGCTTTCCTAGTTACAGTGCATTTGCCCAGGCAGAGTATCTAGCCTACCATCCAGCACTGCCCAGCTTAGTTCAAATGCCAACCACCTCAGCTTTCCCTGGGACCTTGACTGTGCTCTCTAAATTGCTCACATCTCCCAAACCCCATCAGACTGCTTCCCCAAGACTGAGCTCTTATGAGGCAGGAACCCAATTGCCTCTCAATAAACATGTTGCAAAAAAAAGGAACGGATGAGTCTCTGTAAATTTGTCTTGTGGGTCCTTGACACAGAAGATGCTCCTCTGCCCGGTGACTGGCCAGAGGTCTTCCACCTAACACCCTGGGTGGATGCTGGCGCCGGCACCGCCCTCCCTGGCTCTGGCTGTTGTCTTGGTTTCCACCAGTAGTTGCTGCTGCTCCCTGGTGGCCAGAACTTGCCTAGCACCTACTGGAACTGAGCTAGCACTTAGGAGCTACTAGGTTGGCAATTTACCATTTACCTCCACAAAGTGAAATTTACTTGACCTTCCCTGAGAACTTGAATATTAGGAGTCTTGGAGACATGGTCAAGGGCAAAAACAACCTGATTTCTGCCAGCTCCTCCTTGAAGAAACCATGTAATTTGCCATACACATCCCCCATGATGATACCAGTTCTCTTAGACACCAGCTTTACCTACCCCAGCAGGGAGGACCACATCATTCGACCATGCTTTGTTACTACTGAGGATAGCCATCTCCCTCCAGTCCTTGCTTGAGTAGGGGACAGTCGGCCCACAGTAACACAGGGAAGGGATGGCCACGAGTGGTCTCAGCCAGCTAGCCTGATAGTACCTGCAGGGAAGTAAGCTCTCAAACCAACAGTGGTTTTGGGCAGGGGATAGGAGGAGTCCTGGGGTGATGGATGTAAGGCTACTGGGCAGAACACTTAATGACATTTCTTGGTGAGACATATTCATCCAAGTAGGTCTCCCTTGGCTTGCCCCTTCCCCCACGATGTCTGGCTGGTTTCACGCCTCTGGCCCCTGCAGGAAGGAAGCTATTGGCCACGTGTTTGGGTACTAACCCTCGAAAGCCTTTCACCTGCGGCCCACTCCAAAGCCTGGTCCCGACAGAGGGCGCCACGCTTCCTCCCTGCAGACCTAGGGAAGTGGAGGGACGTAGGTAACTGCCATTCCACACCGCTAGCCAGCAAGCGCACCAAGGTCCCCTGAGGGTCAGGGCCAGCCTAGGTGAGCAGACACGATTCCTGTGCCATAGCCTCCCGGCACCACTACATCTTATAGGGAAATAGGCCAGGGGCTGATTTAAGCCATGCTACATAGCCAGAGATGGGGGCTTTCCCCAGAGCTTGAAACTCGGGCTCCTAGAACCCGGCTGCTAGGGGTACAATTCTCCAATCAATAAGTTCCTGTCCGAGGGGGACGGCCGAGATGGCCAATCAGAGGGTCCTGGTCAGAAAGGCGGAGCCTGCCAATCAAGGGTGCGGGTAGTGGAGTGGCGGAAACGATCCAGCCTTGCCCGCTGGGGGCGCGCCTTGACGCGCCGGGATGGGAGTGGGAACTGCGCTTACGAGCCAGCACCCCGTTTCTCAGCTGCCTCAGTTTCCCTGGGAATTGGAAGTGACCCAGGGCCGGGACCCTGATAGAAAGGAAACCAGCCGGAGGTGGGCTCGGGAGGCTGCCTGGTGGAGGTGGTGCTGGCTTGGGGGCGGGGCCTCCTTAGCCCCGCCCCCGCAGCGACTGCTTAGCCTGGCTTTGCCGGGCGCGCAGCCTCCAGTGCAGCTGGCTCCGGGCTATGGACACCCCCGGGGCCCCGACCGCGGCTCCGCGCCCGGGCAAGAAGGAGCTGAAGATCGTAATCGTGGGTGACGGCGGCTGCGGTAAGACGTCGCTGCTCATGGTGTACAGCCAGGGCTCCTTTCCCGAGGTGAGGCCCGCTGGTGGGTGGGAGGGGCTTGGGACCACTGGGGGTGAGGGACATCCTCAGACCGCGCCTAAGCCTCGACTCGAAGGTCCCGAGGTCCTGAGCCTTTAGAGGCGGCTGCCACTCCGGGGCATCCCATGGGAATTCCAGAGCCCAGGGGGCTGCGGAGCACTGAGCTGGATGGGGTGAAATTGGTAGGCAGTGGGGGTTCAGCCGGACCCTGGGCCCCCGCCGCACCCCTTAAAGACCACCCCTGCTCTTCCTCCTACAGCAGTACGCCCCGTCAGTGTTTGAGAAGTACACGGCCAGCGTGACAGTGGGCAACAAGGAGGTGACCCTGAACCTCTACGACACGGCCGGTAAGTGCCCCAATGGGCACAGTTTGCTCTCCAGGGGTTTCCCCGCTGGGGCATCCCGGTCTGGCAGCCTTGCTGCTCCATCAGACCAGGAGGCAGCACAGGTCTGCTAGCTCCGAAACCACCAACCGAACCGTCCCATCTGTAAATGGAGGAGATAGGATAAGGTGAACTCCTGGGCCACCCTCCCATGTCTGTGCTGAGAGCCCCCCTCCCCCCTGCCTGGCTTGTTTCTCTCCTGTGGTTCTAGAAAACGTGGGCAGCGCTTCTGCCTTCCGTGGTTCCAGGATTTCATGCGTTACTTGCTGTGGTCTCTGAAGATTCTGTGGGCTGCGGATTTGAGCCCCCGGGGAGTCTCTGAGCTGCCTTTCTGAATCCTGTGATTCTAGGATACTCAGCTCCCCATCCAAGCTGGGTACTGGCATGCTGTGGCTGGCAGTTCTGTGTCTGTGTCCCTTGCTCCTGGGATTCCATGGACTGCAGTCCCTGGTTCTGGAAATCTGTAGCTACAGTTGACTTTGTGCTTTCCTGGTTTGTTTGGAGGAAAAACCAGACAGCTTAAGAAAATGAACTGAGGAAGAAAGAGGAGACCTCTAGGAAACATAGGCCCCAAATAAGGCTCTAACACCTGCAGCTCCTCACAGGGGGTTTTATGGTTTTCTGGCCAAAGGCATGAGAATTAAATTGGGGGGATGGGAGAAACACAGTGGGAAGACCCTGCTCGCTTCTGGGTGACCTCAACGTTGGAGAGCAAAGGTTGGGATTCCCAGGTGGAACCTCACCCAGTTCTGTGACTCAGTCATCATTGACTTGGGTGGAACTGTGTCACCAAGTGTCCCTTCCCCTGCCTACCAAGCTTTGTGCGTGTGAGGTGAAGTCTCTGACCCTCCTAGATGAAGCCTTAATCTAGATATTCCCCTTGGACAAGGGCTGTCCCTGGCCCAGACCTCTCCTCTATTCCTGCCATGAGCAGGCTTTGCTTGTAGGAGTGACCCACCCTTACAGTAGCCTCTGAAGATCCCTGCTTTTGGATGAGGGCCCTGCAGGGCTGCCTGCAGAGAAGAGCCGTGCCTCCAGGCCTAGGTGAGCTGGGAAAGTCAAAGGAACTCCCAAGGCAGGGTCCAGAGGGCAGTACAAATATGTCTGGGACACTTTTATTTTCACATTTCTTGTTCAGGAGCCAGGGATGGGCAGGGCTTTATGAGTGGAGTGCTGGGGGGAGGGGGAGAGAGCTTGCTTTCAACTTGAGGCTCTGGGAGAGGAGAGGGGAGTTTGCTCTCTCCTCCTCCCTCTGCCAGGCCTCTCCTGTTAGATACCAGAATTTTCTGTTCAGGGCAACCTCCCCCATCAGACCAGAAACAGAGATCACTTCTGGTTTCTGGCTTCACCCAGAGAAAGATGCTCAAAGAACACCTCGGAGTAGATTGTCATGTGAAGGTTCCAGAAAGTTGCTACTTGGTGGAAGAGTTTGTAATAAGAGGCCCTTCCAGAGGGATGGAGGGAGTGTCTGTTAACTGTCATTAGAAGCTTGTGAGTGCTGTGCAGTGATGGTCCTGGCCACAGCTCCCTGCCACCTGTTTTGGAGTTAAACCAGGCTCTACTGGCTGGGTATCATTGGGAACATCAAGTTTTCTCATCTGCCATCAGGGCTAAAATGGTTATGAGAATTAAATCAGAATAATATGATGTGTGGCACTTCACACAGCAGCTGGCTCTGAGGAAGGTACATGTTGTCACTGGGATTTAATTAAATCCTCCTGCCATTCAAGGCCCAGGACCCAGCCCAAGCCTGTGCTTTAGGATCCAGGGCCCAAGAGCTCTATGCTGGCCCCCAGGCCTGGCTGTACGGGAGACAGCCATCTTCCTGGCAAGACTCTTCCAAGCTGCAGAAAAGCAGTGCTGGGGTTTGTGCCCTCCATGAATATGTGTGTGTGTGTGTGTGTGTGTATGTTTTGAGGGGGTGGGGTATCAGGGAGGTGTCCTCATAGTCAGCACAGTAGATCAAGGAGGAATTCTCAGTGGGGAAGGAATCTAGCTGCTCCCTCAAGAGTAGCCACTGTGACCGGGGAAGCCCTGCTGGTGGGAGGAAACTCCCTGGTTGGTAAGCAGTGCGGGGATGAGCCCGGGTCATTCCTCCTATGTATCAAGTGCTTGTCGTAGAGGCAACTCAGGAAATGACCGTGGAATGAATGAATAATACATCTGAATGTTGGCGGCCATTCAGCTCTACTGTGGGGAGGGAGGATGGATACTGGGAGAACTGGGCAGAAAAGGCTGGCCAGGTGATCATCGAGAGGAAGGAGGAGGCTAAGGAGGGGAGGGGAATGGATGAAGTAGAGATGAGTCTAGTAAATGTTGTAGAAAGTTTCAGAATGATGGGTTAGCCCTGGTGAGGGAGAGGGGCATCTTCCCCATCAGTGGTGACCAGAGCTATGGGAATTGAGTGGCCCCAGGGTGGCTGAATTTCTCAACACACCCGACCAAGTGACAGCTGTGGGCGGTGCCGGGACCTTGCCCACAGTGCCCGCGTGCAAGGCCAGTCTGGCTGCCTGTCTCCATCCTGCGGAAGCAGTTACAGACACCCAGCGGTCTGACAGAGCACCCTCTGCTCAGAGGTGGAGAGAGGGTGGGGCCCAGAGCACCCATTGCTCTAGTAGCTTGGCCCCACCCTGACATCCTCAGAGGCAGGAAGCTGTGGTGAGGCCTGAAGGTTCCTGGGCAGGATGGCAAGGCGAGGAGGGGGCTGTGGCACCAACTAGAGACTGCACTCTTAGGCCTGGGGATGGGATCCAGGGTGAAAGGGGCACAGAGTGGGTGGGGAGCCTGAGATGGGAACAGTAGGAAAAGAGGGGGGCAAAAGAGCTGCTAAGACAAGGAATCAGAGGCGAGAGTGCTGTGGAGCCCTGGAGCCAGCCAAAGCTGAGGACCAGTCAGAACATGGTTCTGGCTGAGGATCCGGGCTGCCCCAGCTACTCCTCTCCCTAGGGAGGAAATGCAGGTGGGAGGGCCCCAGCACAGCTAGTAGGAGTGGGTTCCTCCTCTTGCAGCTTCCCCTTCTCAGGCCGCCTACACCCCTCCCCTGTCCAACGCCCTGGACAGAGCTGGGAACCACCTGCTCTGTGCATGTCCTCCAGCAGAATTGGGGACAACCACTGTAGCACAGTGACACTCTTTCTCTCCTCAACCCAGCTTTGGGCATTAGGGACTCCTGCCCCAGAAAGAGGGTTGCAGAGGCAGAGCTCCATCCCATGCAGGAAATACCCCCAGGTTGGGTGAAAACCTCACTTCCGCCCTGCCCCACACTGACTGTAGGAAGAATGGGAGGCTTCAAGGGAGCTTGGGCCCAGAGACCTTTCCTCATGAGAAAGAAATACATCCTTTTGCACAGGACACTGGGATGTTTTTAACCTCCAAGCCCATCATGGAGGCTAGGTGGCAGCTCTACATGGTTGGGCAAGTGACTTGGCCCCTGTAAGCCTTGGCATCATTGTGGGCAAAATGGGGAAGGGCAGTGGTATCACCTCATGTCTGGGAAGTCCCCTAATGCTATGGGTCTAAAGATTCCTGGGCTGGAACTCCACCCAGGCTCGTAACTTCCCTTGGAAGTTTCTGTTTCCGTAGGAACCATCACAGCAGTCCCTCACCTCTGCCTGGCCTTGCATGGCCTGCAGGCCTTTTACTTCCCAACTCAGGGCAGTATCACCCCCTTTCTCAGATAAAGAAATGAGGCCCAGGAAAGGAGGGTGCCGAAGTCCTGGAATGTGCATTTCAGTGCAGCCTGGACATACAGTCCACCCCTCCCAGGGAAGCAGGGGTCAGCAGCACACAGAAGTGCCTCGTCTACAGCCCTAGGCCTTCTGAGGGGCTCAGAGCAAATCCTAGGGAGAGCTAAACTGGTGAATTTAGGCCAGGAAGACACTCTGGAGGAGGTGCTAGGGTCTGGGCTGGCTGCTTGTCTCCTCCCAGAGTCCCTCTTTCTTGAGGTGACTGTGTCTGCAGCCACGTTTCCTCACCTGGTCAGGGCTGGAGTGTGTGGGTTGACACATGTTCCGTACCTTCTGGGGTGGGTTGAGAGAAAGGCACCTGTATAGTCCTCTGTCATTTATAAAACTTCCCATTAGCTGGGTGACTTTGGCAAGTCACTTCACTCTTTGTGCTTCAGTTTCTCTATTTGTAAAATGGGACAACGGTAGTGTCTACCTTGTAGGGTTGTGAGAAAGGCTGAGTTCATTCAGGGAAAGGGCTTTGGATGGGGTAAGTGTTCATGATGACTACTGTAGTTATTAACCACCCTTACGATTGCTGTCATTGAAGCATATCTGCTTTTCACATGGTCATTTTGCAGATGAGGAAACTGAGGGCCAGGAGTTAATTCCTAGGGGGGAAGGTTGCCAGGGAGAGCTAGTGCTCTGAGTGGCCTGCAGGCAGCTGACCTGGGCCCTGGGGACTGAGCTGGTCCTCCAGTTCACAGGATGTCTGCCTCTGACCCTGACAGAGGCCGCCTCAGCCTTAACAGGAAGAGCTTTCCGTGCCTGGCTTACCCCCTGGGCCGCTGCTGGAATTAGCACAGGCCAGGAAGCCAGATGCCCTTGTGAGCAGGCGCTGGAGGGCGTGTGGGGGCACAGCTCCCCCTTGGTTCCTGAAGTCACCAAACATTTATTGAGCTTACCTGTGTTCCAGGGAATGCCACAGTGAACAATGCAGAGACAGCCCCCGTGCTTAGGAACAGACAAACAGAAAAGAGAAAAGTACTGGCACATTAGGTAGCCATTTGTGCTGTGAAGCAAAATAAAGCTTCTGTCACAGGCCAGACTGCCAAGGAGGCTGCTGTTTCAGGGCAGTCAGCAAAGGTCTCCTGGAGGAGCCAGGAAAGAAAGGGGGAAGCAAGCCAGGCTGCTACCTGTTGGAAGAGCCTTCTGGAAGAGGGGCCAGCCAGAGCAGCACCTGTGTAGGGGGCAGGCTGGGTGCAATTGTTCTCAGCCCTCGTGGTGAGACTTCCTCCTTCAGTCCTCTGCAGTCTGGCTGCTGCCCTCAACATCTCCACTGAGACCACTCCTTCTGTCACCGCAGCCTGTAATTGCTAAACACAGTGGGCACATCTCAGCCCTCATCTCTGTTGCCTTTGCCAAGAGCTGAACAACTTAAACACGGTAGTTAGCCAGTATTTCCTCGATGCCTCTAGGTGCCAGGAATTATTTTTAAAGACAGACATGGTCCCTGCCCTCGTGTACACACAGTCTACAGGGAGACAGTAAACAAGTCAGTTTCTAAGGACGGAGGTGGGGGTGTGCCCACAGAAGCCATCAGGAGCCTGGTAAGAGACAACCTTGAAAAGCAGGCTGAAGGAAGTCCAGTCAGAGCAGGTGGTGTTCAAGCCCAGGGTGAGTCTGCCCTGGAGAAAAGGGGAGGAGAGAATGGAGGGGAGATGGCCAGAGTGTCCTGGGCCCCATATTATAATGGCTGGTTCCCTGATGCAGAATTTCTGGAACCCACTGTTAACATCCTAGAAGCCCAGAATGTTTTTGTTTTGTACTGGGGATTAGACCCAGAAGGGCTCTACCATTGAGCTACACCCCCAACCCTTTTTAATTTTTATTTTGAGGTAAGGTCTCGCTAAATTTTCTAGGCTGGCCTGGAACCTGCATTCCTCCTGCCTTAGCCTCCATAGTTAAATGGCATGCACCACCATACCCAGCTCCAGAGCCTGATTTTGCATAATACAAAACCAGAAAGCATTCATTTGTATCAGCAGAAAGAATATTCCACTTGGAATTTCACAAACTAGGATTGACTCCTGGCTCAGTCACAGATTCAGGGAGTTTGGGCACAACCCTTCTGTATCTTCTAAGAAATGGGAAGATAGTCCTCCTTCTGGATCTGTGACCACCCACAGATTCCTAAATTCACTGATGCTCAAGTCTCTGGTATAAAACAGGGAAGTATTTGCATATAACCTATGGCCAACCCCCATGACTTTAAATCATCTCTAAATTACTTATAATACTTCATACAATGTCAGTGCCTTGTAAATAGCTGTTATTGTTTAGGGAATAATGACAAGAAAAAAATCTGTACACATTCAATACAGATGCAATTTTTTTTTTTCCTAGTTTCTAACTGAGGTTGTTTCTGTGGATACGGGACCTGACATTGTGGAGGGCTGACTGTATTCATCGTTTTCCTAACATATGAAGTTGTAGTGTAAGGATTTCTTTATTACTTATAGACAGAAGCACTCTAGAAGCTAGGGGACATATAAGGTATTTTATGAAAGTAGAAGTAGAAAGTAGGCAGGAAACCTAAAAAAGGAAATAATATAGTCTGAATGTGTGCCAAAAACATGCAATGAAGAAAAGCGGGGGGGGGGGGGTTAAGCAATAAGGAAAGAACATTCCAGGCATTGGGGACAGTGAGCACAAAGGCTCTGAGGCACAAGGGCTTGGTGGGCTTGAGAAATGGAGCTGGTAGCCTGGAGTGAACTGCAGTGGGCAAGCAGGTGTAGAGGGAGACCAAGTCGGTGGACCATTGGGAGATGTTTAGATTTTGTACAAAGGACAGTAGGGAGCCATTGGAGGTGTTTCTGCTGTGGAGAGGTGAGTAGGATCTAATTGGTGCTTCAAGATCACTCCAACAGTGAGTTGGAGAATGGATTCATCAAGGGCTACAGGAGACCAGGGAAGAGATGGTGGTGGGGAGAAGCGGGGCAGGGCGGGGTGGGTCTCAGAACCAGCTGTCCAAAGGACTTTATACAGTGGTAGGGGTGCTCTATACCTGTGCTACCCATTGCTGTAGCCACTGTCCCCATGTGGCAGTCAGTTACTTGGAATGTAGCTAGTGCAACTGAGGAACTGAATTCTTAAATGCTAATTTGAATCTAAATAGTCAGATGGAGCAGGCCACTGACTGCCCTACAGGACAGCACAGGCCCAGAAAGACATGGACAGAGGTTAAGAGAGGGAACAGTTTGGGGACACATGTGGAGCAGCATGCTGGAGGTATGTCTCACAGGTAATCTCCAGCCTCCAGGTGGGGAGGGGTGATGGGTCTGAGTCTTCACCCCTTTCCCAGGGTTAGGGGAACTTTGGTTGAAGGACCCCGGGGACAATCCTGGCCTAATCATTGTCATAGCTGTGGCTTTTTGTCCATACTCTCATGACCCCCATGCACTGGGTGCGTTGGCTGGGGTCAGTCCCATGAAACAGGTTTTATTAAGACATCTCTTCCAGGTGGGGAAACAGGCTCCCATGGGTGTCCAAAGTCAAGGTCACATAGAAAGTGAGAGGCAACTGGGATTTGAACTCCTGTCTGGTCTGTCTCTAGTGCCCGTGAACTTCAGCACTGTGGTGCAGTGGAGCTGGCTGAGGGCCTTCAGGGTCCATGGATGGAGGGGGAGCCAGGAGAGAGTAACTGTGGAGACATGGCCTGGCTGTGCTCCACGCAGAGGCCACTTGTCCTGAGAGGAATTCGGCAGGAAGGAGCGGAGGGCAGACTAGTGTCATTAGGGCACTCCTACCTGCAGGGTGGGGTGATTCCTGGGCCTCCATGTCCTTGTTCAGTGGAAGGACATCACAGAGCCTTTCTGCAGAGGTAGCTGTGGGGGTTGCTTATGAGGCTTAAACTTCTCACAGTGGAAGTTTTAGAAGAATACCAAGGCATTGGGACTAAGGAAGATGTCCAATCCTGGCTAGATCCTGGACTAGGAAAAAAATAAAGGACATTATTGGTAAATGGGCAAACTCTAACATGGCCTGGGGATTGGATCAGAGTCCAGGGTCTGCGTGGCTTCCTGGGTTTGACATTGCAGTGTGGCAGGTAAGAGAAGCCCCTGTTCTTAGGAAATCATTTCTCAGCTGTAAAGACTAGAATATCTGCAATTAGCTCTCACTGGTTCTGAGACAAAAGGTGTTTATATATATAAAAAGCAAGTGGGGTAAAACATAAACACTGTGAATCTGAGTAGGGAGTGCTTTACACTCTTTGTTGCGATTTTTCTGTAAGTTGAAACTGTCAACATAAAAAGTTACCCCCCAAACTTTTAAATAAAAGCCTAAGAATCCAGCCACGTGGAAGCCCAGCTTCTGGGTTCTGATCCCACTATGGTCAGGGAGTGTGGGCTCCAGGATTGTTCCCTGTTCCCAGGTGGGCCTGATGTACAGCTGAGATGATGGAGGCTGCAGGGCCAAGAAGGGCTGCTTGCTGCTTTTTCCAGCAATCCCCCACCTCCTGGCATCTGTGAGCATGGGCAGGAGGAATCCAGCCAATCATGGCAGAACCAAGGAGACTAGAGGCTGAAGCCCACACAGGCTCTGGGCCTTGAGGACCCTCCTGGGCCCCCATGGGTCTGAATCTCAGGGGTGGGGGCCCCAGAGTTCGAGCTTTTACCCCGAGCATCAGGCGGGGGAAGTGCACTCAAGGTCTGCAGAGTTACTAGCAATTTTTCCAACACTTAACCTGCCATCACTTGACTCTGAGCAGTGCATGGGCTTGTTTTCATGTAATCTACTGCCCCATTCTATAGAAAACTGAGGCCCAGAGGGCACCCCCACTCCACTCATGGAAGCCTAGACAAGGGGGCTCCAGCAGACAGAGATATGTGCCTATCTGATGCCACCCTCTGGTTTCAGGGCAGGAAGACTACGACCGGCTGCGGCCCCTCTCCTACCAGAACACCCACCTTGTGCTCATCTGCTATGATGTCATGAACCCCACCAGCTATGACAATGTCCTCATCAAGGTGAGGCCCCCAGCCTGCCTTTGAGGGTAGGGGCCATGGAATCAGGACAGCCCCAGTCCTGATACTCTGCCTCCTCCTTCCACAGTGGTTCCCTGAGGTCACACATTTCTGCCGAGGGACCCCCATGGTGCTCATCGGCTGCAAGACAGACCTGAGAAAAGATAAGGAGCAGCTGCGGAAGCTCCGGGCGGCCCAGCTGGAGCCCATCACCTACACACAGGTGGGCCAGGACCTCAACCCCACCCACAACCATAGGCCAAGGTCTCTCCAGTGCTGCCTGCCTCAGCCCTTTCCAAGGAGGTCAGGGTGCCAGCAAAAGAGACTTCTGAAAACACCCCCACCATGGCACATAACCATGGCAGAAAGACCTCCAGACTTTTGAGCTCTGTAACTGGGGTGCCTCAGTGGCCTTTCTGGGAGCTGAAGCAAGCAGGATTCTAAGAATAATTTTAAAGCTGATAGCTTATGGATCTGAGCACTTGACATTACTTCCCTCATTTGATTCTTACGTTTCTAAGACGGGTCCTAATAACCTCCCTCAGTTCACAGGGGAGAAACTGAGACCCAGGGAGGTTCAACAACTTGCCCATGGTTTCAGGTTCAGCAACCTGAAAGTGGAGTCAAAATCCAGCCCCAGTCACTGAGGACCAAGAGTCTGCTCTATCAACTCCATCCTGCCCTGTACCCAGGGCGTCCAGGAGTGCAGTCCTCATTTGAAATTGGGTGTCCTCTGGAGCCTCTGAGAGTCACAGCAAACCCAAGCCTTGCAGTTTTAGGGATGAGGCATGTGAAAATAGTTAGAATAAAAGGAACACAAAAATAATTTAATAAAGAAACTTTAATAAAAGGAATAAGCTTAATAATGACTATTTTTAAAATAATGTTTGTTTGTTTTTAACTCAAAAAACTCAGTGGCTTAAATTGTGCTGTCAGAGAAGAGAAGGGAGACAGGTGTCTAGGAGGAGGTAGTCTCTGTCTTGGAGCCACCCACCTTTCCTCACGGGCTGGGAAACACCGCCCCAGCCCCAGTTCTTAGCGTTCAGCCCGCTCTCCCTGGAGCTGGAGAGAGGCTGGGGTGGAGGCTAACACAGGGCTTCTACCAGGGGTGGTAGTCAGTGTGGGGATACCAGAGAGCCCTAAAGTCCATCCACACACACTGGTGAGGACTGGTCCTAGGATGGAGAAGGGACAGGAGTCCCCAGAGCCAGCCTCCAGCCTGTGAATCTCTAACAAGGTATCAGGAGGCCCCAGGCTCCTCATCTAATAATGCCTCCTCCCCCACTCAGGGCCTGAGTGCTTGCGAGCAGATCCGAGCTGCGCGCTACCTGGAGTGTTCTGCCAAGTTCCAGGAGAACGTGGAAGACGTCTTTCGAGAAGCCGCCAAGGTGGCCCTCAGTGCTCTGAAGAAAGCACAGCGGCGGAAACAACGCCGGGTATGCCTGCTGCTGTGACACAGGCACAGGCCTCAAGACAGGACTAATAGGGTCAGGGACCCAGGCCTAGACCACTCCTAGGATTCTGCCCCGTCCCTATCCCTGTGGCACCTGGGACCTCAGGCTGCACTCTTAGAACATTCTGGAACTCTCTCCTTTCTGTGAACTTACCTTCGGGTTCACAAAGAGTGTAGCAGTGATTGAGGGAGCCGGATACATGTCCCTCTACCCTGGAACCAGCTTTTGTTCCCAAGACTCAGGAGGGCCCTATCATGGTCTCCCCCTTGTTTGTCCCCCTTTGCACACCTAATTCATGCTTAAAACGTAGGACTTCATGTGAGTATGTGGGGATTTGGCACCCTCCACACGGTGCCCCTCAAACTTGCTGCTTCCATGTCACCCTCCTCCCTGGCCTCCCAAGATAGGTATGGCTGCATCCTCCAGCCTCTTCCTTCTTTCCCCCAGACCTCCAGGGCCACCACAGGGCCAGGGCCTATCAGGAGAACACAGGCAACAGCCCTGGAAGTGAGGCTGGCACTAGACCCTCCCTCTTCCTCTTCCTCCTCTGTCCCACACAGCGGAACTCGGCTTTTAGATTGGGCACCATCATGTATGCCCAGGGGAGAAAAAAGTGATCTCTCAAAAGGTCAGATGCCCTGGGTCACCCCCTGACCCCTATTCCAGGTCTTACCTCTGGACCCTACTCACACCCCACCAGGGACTCGGGGTGAAAAGTGCCTGGGGAGACCTCTGTTCTCTCCTGGGATTGTCTCCCATCTTCAAGGGCCCAGGAGGGGGCCATTTAAATAGGCTTTCCACATGCCCCTCACAGCCTGCTTGTATCAGGATGTGGAGCTCAGAACTGCTCATCCTGGTCTCCTTCGAGTACTGACATCAAAACCCCTGTCCACGCAGGCCCATAGCCTGCCTGTGTCCCTGCCAGCCAGCTGCCTACACCCTGAACCTTTCAGAAGGTCTGGGATTGGGCATCCAGGACTTTTTAAACAAGTGCCCAGTGGCTCTAATGCCTGAGACAGCTGTGTGGTTGTGAGTGAACCTAAGAGTCAGTGTTGCCTGAAATGGTACCATGATCTTGGCCGGCATCTGTTCTCCCTAGTGCTGCCTGCCTCAGTCCCTTCCAGGGAAGTCAGGGTGCCAGTGAAAGAGACTTCTGAAAACCACCCCACCAGGTTCCCCAAGGCCCTGCTGTCCCCTGGGGAGTCATCCACGGACCTCTCGTTCTCACAGAATGCAAGGCCTTATGGACAAATGATGGTTTAGGGTGGAGGTCGGCAAACTATGGCTGCAGGCTACATCTGGCTACCATCTATTTTTGTAAATAAAGTTTTATTGGCATCGCCAAACCCACTTTTGTATGCACTGGCTCCTTTTACTCTACAACTTCAGACTAGTCGCCAGAGAGGCCACGTAAAACATTTTTTGTCTGGCCTTTGATAAGAGTTTTCTAACTCCCAGCTGGGCAAACTTGGGTGCCTACAAAGGGCTGAACAGAGATCCAAACAAGGGGAGTAGGGCAGGGGTAAAGGGAACGGCGGGACTGCCAAACCAGAGAGCAGGTGCCTGATCTCACCTTGTGGGAATGCTGTTGGATCTTTTCTTTTGTTTGTGTGTCGGGGGTGGGTACTGGGGATTGATCTCAGGGGCTTTCTACCACTGAGCTACATCCCCAGCCCTTTTCTTTTTTCCCTTGGTACCAGGGATTGAACTCAGGGGCACTCAACCACTGAGCCACATCTACAGCACTTTTTTGTATTTTATTTAGAGACAGGGTTCAACTGAGCTGCTTAGCACCTCACTGTTGCCCGGCTGCCAACCTTTTTTTTCAAGACACTTTCTTGCTATAGTTACCCAGGCTGGTTTTGAACTTGTGATCTTCCTGTCTCAACCTCCTGAGTGCCTGGGATTACAGGTGTGCACCACAGAGTCCAGCTCTTTCCATTTTTCTAGAGGAAGTAGAAATCTGGATTTTAATATGAAATCTCACTGTGGGGAGGGCATTGTTTTTTAAATGTAACTAATTAAAATAATTTAAAACCCCTTTGAGCAGGGCACAGGGGCAGACACCTGTAATCCCAGCTACTTGGGAGGCTGAGGCAGGAGTATCACAAGTTTGAGGCCAACCTGGGTAACTTTGCCAGACCCTGACATAAAGTAAAAAATAAAAAGGGCTGGGGATGGCTATCCTACTCCTCAGTTCATACTCAAAGGATTTAAAATCAGCCTACCACAGGGACACAGCCACATCAATGTTTATAGCAGCTCAATTCACAATAGCTAAACTATGGAACCAACCTAGATCCCCTTCAACAGATGAATGGATAAAGAAAATGGAGTACATATACACAATGGAATATTACTCAGCCTTAAAGAAGAATGAAATTATGGCATTTTCAGGTAAATGGATGGAACTAGAGAATATCATCCTAAGTGAAAAAAGACAATTCCCAAAAAACAAAGTCTGAATATTTTCTCTGACAAGCGGATGCTGATCCATGGGGGAGAATGAAGGAACTTTGTATTATGCAGAGGGGAGTGAGGGTAGGGGTGGGGCTGTGGGGATGGGACAGATGATATACAATGAGACAGACATTATTACTCTACATACAGGTATCAATACACTACTGGTGTGACAGAGGAAGGAGAATTTGTGTTCCCTTTCTGTACAAGGTGTCAAAATGCATTCTACTATCATGTACAACTAATTAGAACAAATTTAAATTTTCTTTTTTTAAAAAAGGCAGGGCTGGGGATGTGGCTCTGTAGTAGAGTGCTACCCTAGAATGTGTGAGGCACTGGATTCAACCCCTTACACACACAGACACAAGACACACAGACAAACCTCTGAAAGCCAATGGAAGCATGTCTGTGGGTACCAGCTATGTGGTCTGGTCTGGGTGGATATGTAGGGAAATGGTCAAAGGCAGCTGAAGCCTGTGCATAGGTGGGCAGGGGCAGGCACTGAACTGAACCTGCTGGCTTCTTCACCCTCCCCACTACAGATCTGGCTGGGTACCCATACAGCAGCTCTGGCCTCACAGGCTGGCCTCTGGGAGTGAGCCTGCTCAGACTGTCCCCTTTCTCACATATTACAGAACCTCTGAGGGAGGTGGGGAATGAGCCATCTCCGAGATGCTTAAGTCCCAGCCAGGGCTGAGTATGTGGCTCCTAGGCCCTGAGTACTTGTAGTACACTTGGGAAGGTGGACTGAGGGAGGGGGTCAGGAAACCCTGAAGGATGGCCTGGTACTTCCAGTATCAACGACCTGGGCCACTCTAACAACCCAGAGGCTGGTGCGCCCTCTAGTGGCCAACTTCTTAAACCCTCCCACACTAGGACTAGCCCTCCCAGTGACTCCAAGGGGGCACAGCCCTCAGGTCCCAGGGAGGCAAGGCCACTTTCCCAAGGACCAGCAGGCAGGTGACTCAGGAAGCACAAAAGACTTGAGACAAACACAGGCAGTGGTTCTCTGAGAACTTAAATAATCCCCCATCACTGAGGGCGGGGGGCCGCGGAGGGGGCTTACAGCAGGGGCCCAGGGGAGGGGGCTCCACAGGATGCTGGAAGGTTTCATTCCACCCTGCGCCTGGGGTGCGGTAAGCAGCAAGTCAGCATAAGTCCAACCCCTGTGAGGCACATCCAAACCCCTTCGTGAGGGGGTTCAAATGACAGGGGTGGGGGCAAAGGGGCTCCCTGAGGATTTGGGCCCCACCCCTAGGAAGACTGACCCAGTCTCAGCTATTGCTGAGAGCAGCAGGGAAGGCCTCAGATTCCAGGGAAGTTAGGAGGACCCGGTATTAAATATGTCATAAATAGGGAGACTAATACTGTGCAGAGAGGTGGGCTTCACATTCCTCATGTCCTGCTTGGGAGGGGGCCTTAGCCCTGCTCCCAGCAATGCCACTGGCCCCTGAGATGCTACTGCTGTTGGCCACCAGTGACGGGCATCCAGGGTGCCAACAGGAATCCCCAGTAGTCTCAAAGTCCGGGACCCCAGGGGCACACAAGTTGAGATGCTCACAGCTTCTTCATCTCATTTCTGTTCTGGAATTTGGCACACCCAACCCTGAATGCAGACAAGTCCAAGGCTCATGGCTTCTTCGTCTTGTTTCTGTTCTTCTGGAGTTTGGCGTGCACGACCTTGAGCGTGGTCAGGAAATTGCCAAGGAAGAGGACGAGGAAGGTGAGAGCCAGCACGAACACCTGTGGACCCACAGGGATGCAGCGCCCAGCAGCACAGAGGGCAGGGTGGGTGGAGAGGAGAGAGAAGCTGGGTCAAGTCCCCTGCTGAAGTGTAGGTCCTCACCTGGGGCCCCAGGGCCCCAGCAAAGCTGCAGGGGTTTCCAGGTGCAGAGGTAGGTAAACTCGGTAAAGGCAATGAGTTCCCAGCATCAGGCTGGTCCTGAAGGAGCATTTGATTGGGTGGGCCTCCTTAGCCCCTAGATCCCTGAGGGGCTCCATGAAATCCCTCCCACTATCTCCCAGAGTTTTCTGAGCAATAGGGCCCCAAGGCAGAGAAAAGTAAGTGGCTGAGGACAGAAATGTCCCTAAGCCAGCTCAGCACCAGCAAGGCCTCACCCCTACTCACACACATGCCACACAAACGCCATACCTGCCATTCTCTGCATTCTTCATGGCTGGAGAGCTCAAACAGTGTGACAGCATTGTAGAGCTGCCAGAACTGGAGACAGGAAGACAGTACTGTTCACCCACTGAAAAGTCAGGGAGATGTCCAGACCCCAGCTTCCAATCCCACCTGCATGAGGCATACCCCCCAGATAAACTGCACCCCAGGCAGGGTGGGTATGAGGACCAATTCTGGCTTCTTTCCTTAGTATCCCTGGACCCAGAGGGCATCCCTGAGGCTTCTTGCTCCTTCAAGAAGACTGACTTGGTCTTGGCCATTGGCTAAGAGCAGCAGGGAAGGCCTCAGATCTGGGGGAAGCTGGGGTGGGCTAATACTATGGACAGAAGAGAGGTGGGCTTCACATTTCAGCTGCCTGTAAACAACTGGTGAAGAAGGGGGAGACCTGAAGACCTTCTATTCCTGGGATCAGCACAGACAGGGGCACCTCAAAATAGCAGGGGAACTCACATGGCCACAGAAGAGGAAAGGGAGGAGGAAGGTGAGGCCTCGCCACATCCAGGACTGGAATCCTTCTGTAGAAAGCAGCAAGGAGCCAAGCGCCCATATGAGGGGACTCAAGGGGCCACTGCCCCACCATGTACGCTAAGATTAGCCAGCAACTAACACCAGGCAGGCACTGTTCACCTTCTATAGGTGGGTAAGCACTCCACCGCAGTAACAACCCAGAGACCTGCAGAGCCCCTGTCACCATACCCAACTGCTCTCTCAAGTCACCATGAGACAAGGCCCGACACTACTCATGAGGCTTCAGGCACTGTGTTTTCACTAATTTCCTTAATTGGTGCAGGAGTTTGCATTTTGGAATGGGCGTTTGCACATATCGCTTCAATCATATTAAAGTAGGGCTTTTTTTTTTTTTTTAAACCAGGGATTGAACCCAGGTGCGCTTAACCCCTGAACCACATCTCCAGCCCTTGTTTATGTTTTATTAGAGATGCTGAGTTGCTTAGAGCCTCGCTAAGTTGCTGAGGCTGGCTTTGAACTTGCAATCCTCCAGCCTCAGCCTCCAAACTTGGTAGGATTACAGGCATGTGCCACAGCACTGGGCAAATAGGGCCTATTTTGCAGAGTACTCAGGTAGAAATGACCTTCTCCAATGATAGCACAGCTTTATTAGAAATAGCTTCCCCTTAAAGTTTAAATGAGGGAAAACTCTTTTTTGATTGAGCATGCCATGGATGAAAAGGGTTAAGCTCATATCTCCAATGTACAATGTTTATACATTTTTTAAATTGTTTTGGTGCCAAGAATTGAACCCAGGGCCTTGCACATCTAAGCAAATACTCTACCACTGAGCTATCCCTCCAACCCCTATTTATACATATTTATACATATATGTGTCATACATGAATTATATGCAAACCAATACTAGGCTAATAGTGTGTGTGTGTGTGTGTGTATTTTTGAGATGGGATCTCGCTATGTTGCCCAGGTTGTCCTGGGCTCAAGCCATCTACCCATCTCAGGCTCCCAAGCAGCTGGGACTACATGCACATACCATCATGCCTGCCTAATATTTTGAATATTATAAAATGCAGGCAAAGAATAGATATCTAAAAAGAATAAGGTCAAGGCCCAGCTCTGAGGGCCTGGCACTCAGTCAGCCTCACACTGGGCAACTGAAACAGAATCCATAATGAATTACAAAAAGCAACTCAGATAAAGAATGGCAGCCCTGGCTTTGCTGAATGGAAGGTCTTGTGTCCTTGCAAGGACATGCTTCAGTGTGGGGAGCTGGGCAGGCCAAGGCTTGTTTGGCCCTTGCCTGGCTACTCACCCACAGTGAGGTCCAGGTGATTCCTTTCACCCAGGGCTCGCAACCTGTAGAGGCAGCCCCTCTGGTAATAATACTGTAGGAACTGGACACAGCCTGCAGGGGGAGCACAGCACCTGGGCTTAGGGCTGACAAACCTGAGGACAGGACAACTTTGCCTCTCCCCCAAAGCCCTAAGGCCCCCAAGTTCAGCAGACCTTACCAAACCACAGGCTGGTGGGACGTCACCAGCCAGAGGGCAGAAAATTCACCCTGGTTACAATCCTCTCCCACCCAATCCCAACACACACACACACACACACACACACACTCTCTCTCTCTCTTTTTTCTCTCTCCCCCACCCTCCCCACACTAGTCTGAATCTGCTTTATCCTCTATCCAGAATACAAAGACAGCTCAGATATGAGGACCCGAGTAAGACTGGAAACTTATGAAATTTTCCTAGGCACGCAGTACACGCTTGAGAGACACCTGCTGGAACGTAAGATGCCAGTGCTAAGCTGGAGGCTGCACACAGTGGAAGATCACAAGAGATGATGCCGTATAAGGGGATAATTCCTAGTTGCTAAACATGAGGAGGTACTGACATAACAAAATAACAGTTAAGATAAAAATTTTAAAAGTTATAGGGAGAAATGCTGGGAAGTGATATTGGCCAAATTATATTGTTATATTGTGTATTGTGTTCATGTACAGATATGTAACAAATCCCATCAGTATGTACATCTATAATGCACAATAAAAAATGTGGGAAAAATAAAATTAAGTTATAATAGTAAAGCTCTATGTCCATAATTATAAAATGTACATATGAAATGTATATACATACATACATATGTATGTGTGTGTATATACATAAACATTTGAGGGGGCTGTGGCTCAGTGGTAGGGCACTTTGCCGAGCACATGTAAGACACTGGGTTCAATCCTCAGCACCACATAAATTGAAAAAAAATAAAGACATTGTATCCATCTACAACTAAAAAAAAATATTTAAAAAAAACAACATTTGAAAGGACATAGATCTTAATGTTGATCACCCCTAAAGGTGGATTATTGTATAATTTTCATTGTTGAATTTATATATTTATAGTTGTTTGCAAGCAGGTTTTTATTTAAAATCCAAGTAATATGGAGGGCTGGGGATACAGCACAGTATTAGAGCACTTGTGTAACATGCGCCAAGCCCTGGGTTTGATCCTCAGTACCTCAGGAAAAAAGAAAAAATGATAATACAGAGACAGGTATGGTGGTTGCACCTGTGTCCCAGAAACTGGGGCTGAGTCAGGAGGATCACTTGAACCCAGAAGTTTGAGGTCAGCCTGGAGTACACAGCAAGACCTGTCTTAGGGGTGTAGCTTGGTGGTAGAGCACATGCTCAGCATGCACAAGGCTGGGGATTGAAGCCCTAGCACCAAAGAAGGGAGGAAGGGAGGGAGGGAGGGAGGAAGAAAAAGGCAGGAGACAACCCCCTCAGAACCAATTCAGAATCAATTCACTGTATACCAATCCAGAGCTAATCTCTGCTTTTTTTTTTTTTTTTTTTTTTTCTGGTACTGGGGATTGAATTCAGTACGATGGATGGAAAGACCTTAACCCTGAGCTACATCCCCAGCCCTTTTTATTCTATCTTGAAACAGGGTCTCATGAAGGTGTTTGGGTTGTTTAGAACTCTCTACCCTCCTGACTCAGCCTCCAGAGTCACAAGGATTACAGGTGAGCACCACCACATCCAGCCTTCAGAGCTACTCTAAAATGAAAAAAAAAAAAATCCATTTTAAGGACTTATTTAAACCTGGGAAACAAGGTTTGTGGCTCCAACACCACTCAGTTCCCAAAGGTTGCACTCCTGGGCAGAGGCTGGGGCTCCAAAGGGCAGGTGCAGGCTGATGTCCCTCTCCTAGGGCTGGGGGTGGGGAGGTAGGGTGGAGTTCAGCTGCAGGGCAGGGAATGGTTCTTTTCTGGATTTCTGGTCAGGGTCCTCTCCCTCCCTGGTCTCCCTCTACACAGGCCAGCAGTGATGTCCACTGGGGGAACCCCTTCAGTGAGAGCCCCAAGAAATCAGTCCCTCCCCCAAAGCTGGGCTCAGACACTCACTCTGAAAAATTGAGAATGCTAAAAACTGATTGCGAAACTTCTGATAAATTAGTCCATTGGGCCTGGAGAGAAAGAGGAAAAAAAAAAAAGAGATGAGGTGCTCTGAAATCTTGACATTGGTCCCTGTCCCAGCTCTACTCCAACCAAGAGAGAAGAAAAGGTTTTAAAGTTAAGCCAGAGTCCCTGGTCTCTGCCATTATGTGTCCTGGAACTGGGCCAGGTCATGCCCATCATTCTTTCTAAAATGAAGAGAGCTTGGTAGTCATTCTGAAACCTCGTTCATTCCTTTGGCCTTGATGTTCCCTGTCACCTCTGCCCCAGACAGCAGGCAACTGTGAAATATTCCCAGCTGTGGAAATTCCCAACTGGCCTGACAGGGCCCTGGCAGCTAGGCCTCTAGCCCAGTTGTAAATTCATACTTGCCTTCCTGACCCAAAAGTCTTCCCTAGAAGGGCCCCTTCCACATTGACCAGCCTCAATTCATCCAACTCCCTGGGGAAACTCTAGGGGCCCAGCAAGGGGCAACTCACCAGGTCAGCATCACTCCAGACAGGAACGTAGAGACATAATGGTGAGACACCCACCAGCCTTTAATTCTCGGGGAGAAAAGAAGGAAAGATGCTCAGGTGGGGACAGAAACACAGGTGATGGCCTCTGTTTCCAACCTATGCAGCAGGGGCTGCTCTACAGCTGGAAACAGCTTCTTGGAGTGAGAAACCAACAAAACCAAGGGCTGAGATGTGGTCCTGTGGTAGAGCACTTGCCTGGAAATGGGCACAAACCATACTCTGTCCCTTCTTGATCCTACAGAGATAATAATCCTATGCTGACTACCTGCAGATTATCCCAGCGACCCACCTCAGGTTCCAGGGGCTTTGGAGACCCTCATAACACATCCCTAACATCACCTGGCCTTCAGGCCCACCTCCCTGTCCTCTCTGGGCACCCAGATGTTCTGAGCATCCTGGCCTTTTCTTGAATTTGCCAAGCCTGCTGCTGCCTCAGGGCGATTATGGACTGAATTACATCCCCCCGAATTCTTATGTTGATATCTACTCCAGTACCTTAGAATGTGACTCTATTTGCAGATAGTGTCTTTTTTTAAAAAAATATTTTTAGTTGTATGTGAACACAATACCTTTATTTATTTATTTTTCTGTGGTGCTGAAGATCAAACTCAGTGCCCTACATGTGTTAGGCAAGCGCTCTCCCACTGAGCTACAAACCTAGCCCCAGAGAGGGTCTTTAAAGAGGTAACTGAAGTTAACAGAGGTCACAAAGGTGACCTAATCCAATGTGACTGGTGTCGTTGTACACAGAGGAAAAGGCACCAGGGATAAGTGTGCACAGAGGAAAGGACACACTGTGAAGGTGGCCCTCTGCAAGCCAAGGAATAAAGACCTCAGAGACCAGCGTGCTAGCACCTTGACCCTGGACTTCCAGCTTATGGAACCATAAAGAATAAAGATGTAGTTTGAGATGCCCAGTATACAGTAGTCCCTGTGGCAGTCCAGCAGCTAGTACAAGGCCTCTATACCTGCTGCTCTCTCTGTTCCAAGTCTTCTGCCTGCTGGGGGTGGGTCTGAATTCAAGTTTCAGACTAACTTTCGCCTCCGCCAAAGGCCTTCGCTGACCACCTTGCTAAAACCCTGGATTACATTCCTGTTTAATTTTCTTCATGGTACTTACTGCCATCTAAGATTATGTACTCCTCTGTTACTGAGCCCCCTTTCCCACTCATCTGTAAATCCCAGGAGAGCAGGGATCTTGTCTATGTTGCTCACTGATGTATCTGTGACACCAAGATCAGAGCAGCTGCTCAGTTACTGTGTTGAATAAACACACAAATGTATATGCACTCACAAAGAGCCGTAGCCATGCTATCCTGTGCAGACACAGGGATGACAGACTCCACATGTGTCCACATCTGTCTCGGGTCTCTGCTGGCCTCCCCATCTCCTCTCTGGGAGCTGCAATCCAAACACATGGAGCAATGAGCTCTGCTAAATGCACCCTGGGAACAGCTGGGCTCCTTCCTCCCAAAGACTGGGCAATGGGTGACGGCCATGGAAATAGTAATCACCTCTGTTCTGTCATAATTCTTCCAGAACAGAGTACTGAGAAGGCAGATGTCCAGATGCTGTCTCTTATAAGGAAGAGGAACCACGAGAACCTGCTGCTGGGGAAGAGGGTGCTGCATGAGGCTTTCTTTTTAATGAAAACCAGCCTGCAGCTTGCGCTCCTGTCATCACCACCAGGCCAACTGGCAGCTACAGGCCTGCTATTTGGGGATGTGGCAAACAACATTCCAAGGAGTGGCTCTGCCATAGTCTACTTGGCTCTTCCACAAATGGTCACCATGCCTCTTCTCAATACTGTTGTGACATCCTTGTGGAAGTCCCCTGCATGACACTTTCTCCATGGTGGCTATCAGAAGCTGGACGACTGGGGCAGGTTATGTCTTGATACCTATCAAATCACCCTCCAAAACAGCTTCCCCAATTTACACTCCCATCAGCAGTAGATTTGTTTCCCAAAACCTTCACAAACACTAGAGACAACATTTAAATTTTTTTTTAGTTGTAGCTGGTCACCATACTTTTATTTTATTTATTTTTATGTGGTGCTGAGGACCGAACCCAGGGCCTTACACATGCTAGGCAAATGCTCTACTGCTAAGCCACAACCCCAGCCCAACATTTAAAATTTTTGTCACTCTCATTATGTCTTTTGTGGGGGGGGGGGCACTGGGGATTGAACCCAGGGCCTCATACATGCCAGGCAAACACTGCACCATGGAGCTACACCCCTGCCACTGTTATTGGGATTTTTTTTTTGGCAGCAGGAGGGGGTAGGGCGGGGGAACCAGGGATTGATCTCAGGGGCACTCTACCACTAAGCCACATCCCCAGCCCTATTTTCTATTTTATTTGGAGACAGGGTCTCGCTGAGTTGCTTAGCACTTTGTTAAATTGCTGAGGCTGGCTGTGAACTCGTAATCCTCCTGCCTCCTGAGCTGCTGGGCATGTGCCACTGTGCCCAGCTGTTTGTCATTGGGATCCTAACTTGCATTTCCTAATAGGTGGGTTGGATCCATCTTAAAACCTTCCTACTGGAAAGTGCACGTCACAAGAATGAGGGCTGAATCTTAACCACCTCCTCTTCTCTTTTCAGCCCATAAGACATTTCTGGATATCAATTAGCTGTTCAGGCAACAGCCTATGTGTGACTCAAGGATTATGGTAAGAGATTTAGGTTTTACAAGGCTCTGTATTCCTAGCAATAACAGTACCAGGTAAACAACAAGCATTCAATAAATGTTGTCACGAATGACGTGATATCCAGGAGGTGTGGCGAGTGAAAGCAGCAGCTAGTCTGTATGCCAACCACCACAGGAGATCACATTCATCCAAATCTTTGTCCCCAGCACTGCCCCAATTCTACTACCCTCTTCTTGCCTGTCTGAGTCTAAGAGGACCCCTGAATCCAATTTCCTAATAGTAAATTCAGCTGGCCAGATCCTCGGACTTTCAGCTTGAAGATCAACCAAGAGCCTGACATGGCAGTGCATGCCTATAATCTCAGCTGCTCAGGATGCTGAGGCAGGAGGATCACAAGTTTGAGGCCAACCTAAAATTTAGTGAGATCTTGTCTTAAAATTAAAAGGGCTATGGGTGCAGCTCAGTGGAAGAGCACTTGTCCAGCATGCATGAGGCCCTTGGTTCAATTCCCAGGACCTCCCGCCACCAAAGGGCAACCAAGAGGTGTCACTGCAACCTCTCTAGAGTTCTGCAAAGCCACACAGGAGCTCTCAGATCTTGTCCCCAGACACTCTTTTGTCCTACTCCCCAAAGTTTCCCTGAGAAATGCCCTGGGCCAAACCCACACTCTGGACAAGCTTGACTGAGCAGCGGCTTTCAATTTCAGAGCTAGTGGTGCCCAGAGCCCAGTTTTGACAGATGCCACCAATAAACACAGCTCAGCACCATGGGGTGAAGCTAGAAACTGCATCTTCCCCAGCTTAGCATTCATGAGCCCTACGTCCATCTGTTCACCCCAGGGCTCGGGGCTGGTTTTGTGTCTGTGTGTTTTTATATAAAGGTTTGATTGTGATATAGCTCAGATACCGTCAAATTCATCCAGTTATACAATTCAGTGGCTTTTATTATATTCTCAGAGCTGTGTAACCATCACAATCAATTCAGAACCTTTGAATCACCTCAAAAAGAACTCTGCAAAAACCCCATAGCAGTCACTTTCTGGGCCATGTTTGCCATAAAAACAAGGCCTGTGGACTTGTTCTTAGAAGCAGAGGGTATAGGACTCAGGAAGAGCAGGTGCAGGTGGGCCAGAGCAGAGGGATAGCACATTGGACTCTGTAGATCATGCCAGGGAGATTGCCCCTTCTCCCTTCAGGACACATTAGATAACGTCTGCGTGTGCAGAAGAGATGCACACCAGGCATTGTTCAACCCAAGGCGCTTCTGGCTTTGGGGTTGGGGCAATCTGGACAGCTGGGGAATGGCTTCTACTCCTCCCTTGCCTGCAGCCCTCTACATGTTTGTTCCAAGGATAGGCCCCTGAAAAAGCCAGAGATCCAAGCACTGTGAGCTGGTTCTCTAGGAAAGCCAACCCAGTTGGATTGCCATCACTATTGATTTGGGCATAGAACTAACTATAGTGGATATCAGCTGTTTTTTTTTTTTTTTTAGAATTTTTAATATTTATCTTTTAGTTTTCGGCGGACACAACATCTTTGTTTGTATGTGGTGCTGAGGATCGAACCCGGGCCGCACGCATGCCAGGTGAGCGCGCTACCGCTTGAGCCACATCCCCAGCCCAATATCAGCTGTTTTGCCATCTGCCAATCACCACCCATCCTGGTCCGCGGCCTCAGGTATATAGGAAATCACCCCACTCACACCATCAGCTGGTTTGGTAGAGCTGAGGACTGTATCCAGCACGTGTCTTAGAACTGGCCAATCGGTGTTCAGCAGCTCTTTGGCAACAGTGATTGGCTCAGGGGCCAGCAAGTCATCCCAATTTAACCAGTCAGAAGTTTGAAGATTCCCTCTGGATCTATGAGGATACAGGAGGGGCTCTCAGCTCTGGAACTGCTGACCCGATTCCTGGCCAACCTGGGCTTAGAGGAGCCAGCCCAGGGAGAACACTAGGGAGTTAGAGTGGGCTGTTAACATTGTTGGGAGTGGGTCATGCTGGTGTACACGGCCAGAATCCCAGCAACTCAGGACACTGAAGCAGGAAGATCACCAAGTTTGAAGCCAGTCTTGGCAACTTAACGAGGCCCTGTCTCAAACAATAAGAAAGGGCTGGAGGTGTAGCTCAGTGACAGCACCCCTGGATCCAATCCCCAGGACCGGGGGTGTGTTGGAGGGGGGCACTGTTGGAGCTTTTTTTCTCCTTTTCCCAGTTATGTGGGCTCATAAGTGCCCCCTCAGATTTAGACCCTCCTGGGTGGGTTTCCATCATTTGCCAAGTTTGCAAGGGAAGCTGACTTGCTTATTGAGCCAAAGAGCTACAGCTCAGGTGGGAGCCCGCACAGCAGGGGTGGCTCCATTTTGTGATGGGAATACACCCACACCCCAAGCCTGTTCCCAGAGAACTCCTTCTGTCCAAATTCAGGTCTCAGACACAACCAGGAAACAGACAAGAGTCTCGGGGACCCATCACGTATGACCACAAAAGTAGGACCCTAAATAGAATAAGTTACACTTTATGTATGTATATTCTGCCAAAGTCCATTCTACTGTCATGTATAACTAAGAATAAAAAATAAAAATCTTTTTAAAAAATGTCTCTGGGAGACAAGCCTGCAGGAGGTGCATATGGTTGGTTCTGCTCTACTGTCCCCATAATACCAGTATGGTCTCAAAGACCTTTCCTCACTGCAGAGCCTGGCTTCAATTCATTTCAACAAAGTCCATGGGGTGTTTGCTGGGTACCAGCCCTAAGCTCCTGAGCTGGCTCTGGGCTACTTAAGAAATGAGAAAAGCAGCACGCATCCCAACTTGGGCCCTCCTGCTGCCTCCGCCCATGCTTTTTGGGAATGGTTTCTTAGCTATTCCCTGGTGAGAAGCCAGAGCAGGAGAAACCTCCTGGACATCTTTCTTCATCCGCCCCAGGATAAATCAGCTCTGAGAAGGAGCTGGAGGAGGATGGAGACTAAATCTGTAGCAGATGTTGAAAACGAGTCACAAGTTTTGAGTCACCCAGATTCAGCCCACCTGCCTCATCCCCTCCCCCACAAGCCAGCCACAGCTTATTGCCGTCATTCTAGAAGCTGAGGCCCTCATTTGGGCCCACTGGCCTCATTCCAGGCTCTCCTCCCCAAGGCCAGTGTGGGATGACAGCCTGGAGGAATGGTTCCATCACAACTTGAGATTTCTTGGGCCACACTTACCAGGACAGGGCCTTTTTAAATTTGTGAGTGCTCCCAAAAAGTAGTGTGAGTTATCTTGGAGTCTTGTAACTCAGTGTCTGGTGCTCAATAAATATGTGATGAACAGCACATACTTGGGGGCAGGAAGAGCAAATGTACAGAAAGCTTTGCTGTGAAAGCCCAGAGAAAACACTCCTGCTCTTCCTTCAGCATCAACACCCAGGAGCCAGGAAAGCTCCTGCTAAACTGTTAGGCAAGTGAGGTTTGTCTCTGGAACTCCATCCCTCCCTTAGTACCGGCGCTGAGCTCCACAATTTCAGGGACTCTCTCTCCTTCTCTTTGGTAACTCCCCCACCAACAGCTCAACATAGTAAAAACAAATAACAACAATAAAAAACTGGACAGAATAACTCTTCCTAAAGTGTGGATGACTGTTAAAGTTAAAGCATGCACCCAAGTTATCTCTCCTAATTTTTTTATACCTTTATTTATTTATTTTTATGTGGTGCTGAGGATCGAACTCAGGGCCTCGCACATGCTAAGTGAGCGCTCTACTGCTGAGCCACAACCCCAGCCTCCCCACCCAAGCTCTCTTAATAGAAGCTCAGCATATGGGTGAAACAGCAAGATGATGGCAAGTCCACAGCTACAGAAAAGAATTAGTGATAAAAGTGTCTTGCCAATTGCCCTGGTCTCATTTCCCTATCATCTGGATTCTTTCCAACCACATCCCAAAAAAGATAGATACTATTCACTCTAAAATTAATGTTACTTATAACTTAATGTTAATATGAATTTACTTATTAAATTAATTGTACTATGAATGTTACTTATTTGGTAAGGTCTTCTACTTCAGTGTTCCCCAAAGCATAGGTGCATGCCACCCAGTTTTAGGATGACATGAGAGCATCACACCAAATGTAATGAACCTCAAGGAAAGGTCCACTGTTTAGTTCTTCTCCTTTCCCGATTAACTCGAGGAGAGTCTGGGTTACATGCTAGGATATCTTTAATGCCTCTTGAGATCTGCTCATCCCCCTTTTGCTACACACACACACACACACACACACACACACACACACAGAGCAAACTTCAGGCCCAAGGGCTCAAGAAGCAAGAATAACTGACATCAACGATCTCTACAGGGAAAATAGTAGGATACTTTTACAGAACTCTTCTCCAACTGCTGGTTGTTTTCCATGAATGATGGTGAAATAAAGTTTTCTATAATCATAAATCAATATACATTTAAGTTTAAAAAAAAGGAGGATTGATTTAAAATGTAAGGAGATCATCACCCAGGTTGTACATGAATATGGCAAAAATGGTGAGGACAGGACAAGAATGAGCAGTCTGAGAAACACTGATCTGTCTAAACAGCTGTGCTATAGGCTGTGCTCCTGAGTCACTGTGCCCACCCCCATGGGCTGGCAGGAGGGATATGGTGGTCCTTACCTCTTGGCTTTTTGTTCAGGGTGAGATCCGGCAGGGCAGGGACCTGCCATGAGAGACCACCAGGCAAAAAAGTGAGAAGCTGGCAAATAATTTCAGGGGTTTGGCAGATGTTCATTTCTTGGCTGATCCTTACCAGTCCCAGAAAGCAGGAAGTAGGAAGGGGTTGGGAGGCTGTTCCATGGTCACCCCCCAAAGAATCAGACCTTCAGAAAATGAGTCCTCTACGTGGCAAGGCATGGGTCTTTTATTTACCCCCCATGCTGGGGATCAAATCCCGGGCCTTATAACATACTCTACTCCCAACCTCCAAGTAATGGATCTTAACTAGGTCCCATGACTCTGCTCAAGGGCAGGTAGAACAGAAAGGAGACCAAGAGAAAAACAGTGAGGTTTCTCAGACTCAGAACCTTTTAGAGATGGGGAAAGTTGGGGACACCCAATCATGCCAAGATTCACTCATGACACTAACGCAATCGCTTCCCCCAAGGGACCTGAAAACCACCCAAAGAGGGATATGGCTTGCCCAGGGCCACAGAGCTGCTCAGTGACAGCACTGGTACTAGAACCCAGGAATTCTCATTCCTAACACAGGATACGTTTGGCCCAAGACCCTCACCAACCTGTCTATTCTTCTCCCCATCTCCTTGTATAGGACCTTCCACTCTTGACACCAAAACTCATCACCCTCCTAGAAATAATATCCTAGTATTCCTCTGAGGAACTTTTCCCCTCCTGACAAGTGTTTCTGTGCTGCTAACAATGGCTGCAGGGTGGGCAGGAGGCTCCAGCCTAGTCAGTCACAGCAGTGTACTGGTGGGCAGCAGTTCAGAGACCCAGTCAGCTCCTGGACCCAACCAATGGGACCCAGTTGCTGAGCCATGGAACAGAGAAATATGTCCTGCTTGCCAAGAGTGATGGTGTGGAGCCTGAGAGTGAAACAACACAGGAGAGGGCAGAGCTGAGAGATGGAGAAATGGGTCCTGATGACACTGTCAGAACACCTAGGTTAGGCCTTACCTGAAGTCAGAACCAATGAACCTGCTCATTTTGTGAGACAACAGATTTCCTGTTACACTAAACCAGTTTGAAGTAGGATTCCTTGCACCTCTGCAGAATAACCATGAACATGAAACTGCGCCAGCAGCATCAGATGCAGTGTCCCTCTTCTCTGGGTCACAGAGCCCCCAAGAGGAAAGGGAATGCAGGTTGAGGGTATCAATCCTCACCTGACTCCCCTTCATGACAGAATTCCTTTTGGCTCCCTCTGCGCCCCCCACAATCTGGGCTCCCAGTTACCTCGAGCCGTTGCTGATGAGAATACTCTCCCGGATCGTCAGGGTGCAGTAATACCACACCAGCAGGAAGTTAAAAACTTCATCCGTCACCCTGGCATGAAGAAACAGCCCCAGGGAGGGGAGCAACGTGAGCACCAGGACAGCCAGCCCTTCACCCCAAAAGGACAGCACCAGGGCAAGGGCTGCCCATGGCAGGCGCTACCTCTGGAAACCCCTACTCCACCTTGGCAAGCAGCAGTCTGGACCCTGGATGTCTCCTCTCTCCCTGTAATGTCCAGGGCCACTGCTCTTCCTTCTACCGGGCCCTACCTGCACTCCAGGCTCTAGCTGAGGATCTCCTCCTCCCTGGTCCAATGCCCAAGGCAACCCATCTCTAAACTCTTCCTGTCTGGGAAGATTCTGGATGACAACAGAAGGACCTTTAAGAACTGTTCTATTTTAGGTTGTTTGTCTTCAATGGTAAGATGCAAATTCCTCCCATCTTCTCAAACCGGGTAGTTTTGGGGTGGGGGTTACTGGGGATAGAATCTAGGTGTCTCTACCACTGAGACAGATCCCAAGACCTTTTCATTTGTTTAATTTTGTGTGTGTGTGTGTGTGTGTGTGTGTGTGTGTGGTGCTGGGGATTGAACCCAGGGCTTTATGCATGCAAGGCAACCACTTTACCAATTGAGCTATATCCCCAGTCCCCTTAATTTAATTTTTGACAGGGTCTCTCACTAAGTTGCTGAGGCTGGCCTCCAACTTAGGATCCTCCTGCCTCAGCCTCCACACTCACTGAGATTACAGGTGTGTGCCACCACACCTGGTTAAACCATTTGTTACACATATGAAATGAGTCTTAATGGCCTATGTGAGCTATCAAGCTAAATGAAGAAATACTCCTTTGCCTCTTCTACTGTGATTGTAGCCTGGAACCCAGCTGAGCAGGTCTCAGATGCAGACAGAATGGACTGCTGATGCCCATGGGGCTGTGGGCCTCAGCTTGCCATCTGTAAAGTGAGAAGGCTGGCCCCCTACCAGAGCATCCCAGGGCAAAGGGTCCTGGGAAAGAGCCAGTGGCAAACAGCCCTCTGAGGCACCCCTGCCAGCAAAGGCTCTGGTGGAGGGCTCTGTCTTTGACCCTGACAGGGAAGCTCTTCTGCACCTGCCAGTGCCAGAAAGACTTCTCCCAGGAGAAATGACCATGGGTCTGGGCTGTCTGCAGATAAGGGAGGAAAAACACCCCAATTTCCCTGAAGTGGGAGACCCTCTTCCCTCAGAGGGAAGGAGGGAGGATGCAACTTCGGCAACAATGAATAAAATTAGGTGTGTCTCTGAAGCTATGTGACTGTGTTTTGTGGAGTGAGATGACAGTTACCCTCAGACCCCAGGGCTGAACTGTTGTCACCCACAAAGATAGTCTCAGGAAGGTCAGGATTCCTGAATTCACTCTGGAATTCCAGGCCTGAGTCCAAATCCCAGTTCTGTCACTTCCCAGCTGTGGGACTGAGGATGAGTGAGCCGCTCCTTGAAGCCCACACTTCCCCTCTGTAATGTGGGAGGGTAATGGCACCTGCTGTGAAGGGCTGCCATGCTCACGAGCTCAGTTAATACAGAGTGCTTAAGACAGTGTCCCCAGTGTAGCAGAGCTGTGCATGTCCTGGGTTAAAACTCTGGAAGTACCAGACCATCCAGTCTGCAAAATGAGGTTCAGAAGCTTATCACTGAGGAATCAGAGGCCCACAGGACTGGACGAGAAGTGAGGGTGGCGAGAGACAGGTATCCCAGGACAGAGGGTCACTTTTTTTTTTTTTTTTTTTGGTACTAGGGAGTCTAGTACCAAAATCCAGGGGTGCTCAACCACTGAGCCACATCCCCATCCCTTTTTATATTTTATTTAGAGACGGGGTCTCACTGAGTGGCTGAGGGCCTTGCTAAATTATTGAGGCTGGCTTTGAACTAGCTCCTGCCTCAGCCTCCTGAGCCGCTGGGTTTATAGGCGTGTGCCACTACACACAGCTGGGTGAGGGTCACTTTCAATGCAGGTTTTCCTGCTCACCTCCAGCAGGAGGAAAGCACAATAGCCAGCTGTGGATACAAGGACATTTTCGCTAATCCCTTCCTAAATCTTCTGGATGAAGACAGGAGTCAAAACAAAATGTTATGGTTCCAGCACTTGCTCTAACTTGCTTCAGGTGCTGGCCTCAATCTGCTTGGCAAAGTGTGTGAGTTTCCTATGGCTGCTGTAACAAATCACCTTGAACTAAACGGTTTAAAGAAACCATTTAATCTCCTACCATTCTGGAGGTCAAAAGTCTGAACTGGATCTCACCAGGCTAAAATCAAGCTTTTGGCAGGCCTGATCCCTGCTGGAGGCTCTCAGGGAGAATATGCTTCCTGTCCTTTTCTAGTTTCCAGAGGCTGCCGTATTTCTTGTCCTTGTACCATTCCTATCCTGGTTTCTGTCATCACATCTCCTCCTGGGACTCTGATTCTTCTGCCTCCCTCTTATGAGGACTCTTATGATGACCCTGGGTCCATATGAATAACCCAGGCTAACCTGCACATCTCCAGATCCTTAATCCAATCATATCTGCAGAATTCCCTCTTGCCATATAAGAGAGTGTGTTCACAGGTTGCAGAGACGAGGACGGGACCACTACTCAGCCTCTCACACTGGTCAGCACTGGTAACCGGAAACTTGCTATGCTACGCTCATTCTGCACGGATGGTCACTCTGAATCCTTGAAAAGCCCTGCACAAAGCAGATACATGTACCACGCTCACGCCTGCATCACTTCCAATTGCCAGAACCTGCCACTCTTGATGTACCCAGGGCTCTCTTGGGCCACCACAGCCACTCTTCTGGTGCACAAAGCAGATCAGAAGGTGGAGGAATTAGTACCCTCTAGGAGCAGTCCCTAGCTTCCCTGATGGACAGCAGTGGGAGGACGAGACACCAGCTGCCTGGCCCTCAGGTGGGACATCCCAGGTTGTTCTGTACTGTCCTGGATTCTCTGCAGCACTGAGCTCCAAATGCCTATGGGATGGCTCTTCTTTGTTTCACTTTTCGTTCGGCTACCCGTGTTTCCTAAGATCATCTATCATAGGGACTGAAATACTTGTCTTGGGGTATTATATATTTGTCTTCTAAAGGAAACCCAAGGATGGAACTACTTCCTACTTTACAGATGAGGAAACAAAGGTTCAGAGAGGGGGAGTGAGTTGCCCAGGATCACACAGCTGCTAAGCCTTGGAATGAGATCCAACGCTTAGCAGCTGGCTAAGGCTTGAGACCTGGCTTGAAATCCCATAAAGCAGTTCTGACCTGACAGCTTCTTGGCTTGAAGACTGCAGAGAGAAGTCTCAAACTTTCTAGGTACCTCAGATACCCAGAAAAATCTTCCTAAACACCAGGCAGCATGGAAAAGAGGGGTCCTAGGGACCATGGGAAAGACGAGGAAGCAGAGTGGTGAAGGGCTATACTCAAGGTCACATAGCCTATGAGTGGTAGAGTTGGGCTTAGGACCCAGGGCTCTGAAGCTGTTGGCTGTCAAACTGCAAGCTTAGAGGTATCAAGGAGGGCATTTGGGTGGAGCACCCAGCAAGGAAACTATGCCAAGGGGGAAAGTATAACCCTGCTAGTTGGGCACACTGAATATTAAGCTGTGATCTTTGGGGGGCAGATGGGAAGATAGATTCTGGCTATGTTTTCAGGCTGATCTTAAACTCATGGGCTCAAACAACTCATGGTTGCATGCACCTGTAGCTGAACTACAGGTGCATGCAACCATGCCTGGCTGTGATCTTCCTGAGAGCCCAGTCCTAAAACAAGGTGACAGTGACAATAACAGTAGCAAGTACTAATGGCTCCATAGCAAGCTCCCCTGTGGTCACCAGGAGAGAGAAGCTGCCTGCCCAGTCCCACCCCCTGCCCCTTTTTCAGCCCCCAAAACTTATATCCACTGGGACCTCAGCATGTGACCTCATTTGGAAATAGGGTCTTTATAAATGTGAGAAGTTTAAACGAAGTCATACTGGGTTAGGGTGAGTCCTAAATCCAATGGCTGGTGTCCTTACAAGAAGGCCATGAGGGAGACACTCAGGAATGGAACCATGTGTCAACAGATGCAGCGACTGAGGTAAAAGGACTTAAAGCCAAGGAACATTACGGACTACCAGGGAGGACAGCCAAGGAAGAACCTGCCTTGGAGCCTGCCAACACCTTGATTTCTGGCCTCCCGAGCCACCAGAGAAGAGGACAGATTTCTGTGGTTTTAAGCTCCCCCAGTTGGTGGGACGTCTTATGGCAGCCCCAGGAGACTGAAACATAGGGGAGGGGGAGAAATGGGACTATCCATCCAGGCCCTGGGTGAAGAACTTGACAACACAGTCCAGGTTTCCCCTGGAGGGCCCTAGAGGTCCCCATGCAAGGGAATATGGTTGCACACCAAGAACTTTTACCACTTCCAGAGGGGAGGGTGAGCAGGTATTACTGGTGTGCACAGCCTCTGCCCCCAGGGAAGTGGGCCAGGCTCCACGCAGCAGGCAGACATGAGCCCAGGGCGTGCGAGAGCCTGTCGGGTCACCTGAGTGCCAGATCAGCAGCTGGACTCTCAGCCAAGGGCAGAAAATAAACTCTTGACACATGGACAAAATCCAAAACCATACTTGGCTGCCTCCCCTGAGGGCAGAAGAACCAAGGCCAGAGGGAAGAAAGGACCCCAGGGCAGTGCAGCGCAGCCCCACCTCCCTCCTTGGAGAGCTTGCCAACCACAGAATGTGGATGCACTGAACCTTCCCCACCCTGTGAAGTATGGCCTGTTGTCACCTTGTCTTACAGATGGGGAGACTAAGGCTCCCAGGGGGAACCCACCCATGGTAACAGCCAGTTAGTCTCAAAGCCAGTGTTTAAACCCAGGCATTCTGGGCTAAATCTTTTTCTTTTTGTATTTTTTAAATTTCTTTCTTCTTTTTTTGCAATTCAGATATAATCCACTTACCTTTTAAAGTATTCAGTGGGTTTTGTTATATTCACAGAACTGTGTGCAACTGACATTACCTAATTTCAGAACTTTCTTATCACCCCAAAAAGAAACCCTATAATCCATGAACAGCCACTCCCTGTTGCCCCTCCTCCAGCCCCTCCTCCAGCAGGCTCTGACCTGAGCTGTCTCTAGATTGACCTACCGTGGATATTTCCTATCCATGCAATCATGCAACATGGTTTTCTGGGTCTGCCTTCTTCACTTAGCAGCATGTGTCAGTGTTTTATTCTGCTTTTTGGCTGAACAGCATCCTGTTGTATGGATGTGCCACACTGGACTCTGTCTTAACTACTGCATCAGAGGGCCCTCCAGCAGCCCTGTAGGCCCTCCACAGGTGATCAGCATTACAGTTTCCCATGAGAAATGGTCCTTCCCCCCTATATCTTATCACACCAAACACTCCAGGAGCATAAGGGACCTTGCCTCCATCTGGCCACCTCTCTCTCCTGGCCCCCTCCTCACACCACATGTGCTCATGCACACACTGCCACGCCCCACTACCTGTAGTGAAGGACAAAGCGACACGCCACAGCTCCCAGGAGCAGGATTATAGTCAGGTAGAGCTTGAACTTCTCATACTCATCCTTGTAGGCAAACCTGCCATGACATAACCCCCCAAGAAAGGTCACATTCTATTAGTATTCCACTCCACTCCCAGCCCTGCCAGTTCCAGGACTACCACCACTGCTACAACCCATGAGGACCTGCACATTCCACTAAAGGAGACACTGGCCTTGAGTCAGCAGTGACCAATGAAGGAAAGAGGGCCAACTACAAAAGGTCCCCCTGTCCCTGGACTCCTGGTTAGAGCTTTGGGCCCATGATGCAAAGAGGCAGGGCAGAGATAGAGTCTCTCCCTCAACCAAGTGGTGCAGCAGAAACACAAGGGTCACTCTTGCCTAGAAATGGAGAGATTCCAGGGGACAGGAGCACCCATTTCCCATGGGAAATGCTCTAACAAGGGAAGTAATAAATGTTATATGAAGGGAACAGAGCAGGGGCCACTCTCATGGGAAATGGGGAACCTTATCCACCAACATATTGACTCTGGGAAAAGAAGGAAGGAAACCTTCCCCAAGGTGTCTACCCACTAAGGAGGACCAGGCCAGAAAGACCAAAAGCCAGAGCCCAAACTGCTAACCTGCTTTGATTTATGTAAAAATTCTAGCTTGGACCTATCTTCCCTGAGTGAAAAGAGCAAGATGCCTGGATTTTGAGCCAATAGTTGGGTGGAGGGGCAGGTCCAGGCATACTTACTTGGCCTGGTTGCTGAGGAGGGTCACATTCACATTACCAAGGACCAGATTCAAGTAGAGCCTGGAAGGAAAGACCTGTGAGAGCCACATTCCTGAACAGCCTTGAGAGTCGTCCCACCCAAAATTATGCACTGAGCACTTAATATGAGAAAATAGGCACCAGAGCAAATGAGAACAATGATTAATTCAAGAATATGGCAGCTTGTACATGGATGTCTATTAGCTCATTTCCCCCATCAAAGCTGGCTTAGAGAACCTATTGCCCCTTCTCCCGTACAGCCAGATGTAAGCGTGTGACTAAGTTCCAGGCAATGAAGTGAGGTGAAGGCATAAGTATAATCTCTAGATCAATTTAGAAAGTGTTTTTTTAAGTGGTACTGAGGATTGAACCCAGAGGTGCTCTACGACTGAATTACATCCCCAGTCCTTTTTATACACACATACATATATATATATATATATATATATTTTTTTTTTTTTTTTTTTTTTTTTGCAGGGGTGGGGATAGGGCAGGGTTGTCCTAAGTTGCTGAGGCTGTTCTCAAACTTGTAATCCTCCAGCCTCAGCCTCTAGAGTCACTGGGATTCCAGGCATGCACCACCATGCCCAGCTAGGATTGTCTTTAAAATTAAGGCATAACCTTCATAAGTATACATGTCTTAAGCACAAGCATGATGAATTTTTATGTATTTGTACAGGTAACCAACACTCAGGTCAAAGAATAAGACATTTCCAGCCCCAGGAGGCTCCCTTATGCCCAACCAGGTCAGCTTCCCCCAGTCTTTTTTTCTATCACCATGGATTCATTTTGCCTATTTTTGAACTTCACCTATATGTACAGAGGGTAGAATCTTTTAACTTGGCTTCCTTCCCTCCATATTCCAAGCTACATCCATGTGGAGGGCTGTGGGGAGCCATTCTCACGCGTGACTGGGTGACTCCTGGTTTGGGTCTGAGGCTTCTGGCTGTGTCGGAATTTTCCCGACCCTCTCCTGATGAGAGAACCCGTCCGTGTGGGGGTGTGACTGACCACTGACCCCGGGGGCCCAATCACTGACCCTGACCTTGGAGTGCGGCCCCCCTCAACCTTCATTGGATGGAATTATCCCCTGAATTTCTTGTTCCCCAATAAAAGGCTACTCCCTGGCGTGCTCGCTCTCTCTCTCTCCTGCTAGCCCTGAGTAATCCTTGCTGCCCTACGGGTGGTTCGAGGTTGGAGCCAGAGAAGGGAGCCGTCTTGGACCTGGTCATAGAAAAAGGTAACTGAGTCTGTGTGTTTTATTTCGATCTCTGCTAGCTAACTTTTATGCCAAGAACCTCATTAATGAAACCAATGTGCAGGCCGCATGGTGGAGAGGGCGTTTTGGTCCTTCCTTCTTTTTCATGGTAAGCAGTATTCTATGGGTGGCTACACCACCACTGATTCATTTCTTCTACTTTTGATGAACATTTGGTTTATTTTCAGTTTTTGGTTGCTGTTCAGTGTGTTGCAAGAGTACTGAAAATCTTTCAGTAAATTTCCAACATGTAAGACAATATTTTTAAGAACAGTCCCCCTACTGTTGTGGGTCAGTCCTCAAGACTGAGAGGGCACTTGCCTAGAATGTACAAGACTTTGGGTTTCATCCCCACCCCTGTAAAAAACAAACAAAAACTTAGTCAAGCTATGTAACAAGTCTGTTGCTACTGACATCTCCCCAATTGCCCTGTACCCCTGTCATTGGTAACTATCTTTCCATTCTCTTTTTCTATATATTCACCTTTTTAAAACTCCACATATAAGTGAGATCATACAGTATTTTTTGCATCTGGCTTATTTCACTGCCCATAATGTCCTCCAGGTTTATCCATATGCTTTTAGTTATTGGCTAGTTGTGAACATACTTTTTTGTAAATTAAGGCATAATTCACATAATATAATTTTGTCCTTTTAAAGTATACAATTTAGTGACTTCTAACATAGTTACAATGCTGTGCACCCATCCCCATCACCTAATTCCATAACATTTCCACCAAATGAGACCCAGCACCCATCAGCAGACTTTCCCTACTCTCCCTCCCCCAGTCCCTGACAACCACTCATCTACTCTGTCCCTATGGTATTGCCTATTCTGGACATTTCATATAAATAGTGTCATACAATACGTGATCTTTTGTGTCTCACTAATTTGTTAAGAGTGTTCATATACAGTCTTCTGGAGGATATAAACACCCATTTTCCCTGGGTATGTGACTAGGAAGAGAATTTCTGGGTCATAATGTAGGTATGTGTTCACCTTCCATAGGAAATGGCAAACATTTTCTGTAAAAGGGGATTTTCTTGCTTTCTTGCTCTCCTTCCCCTTCCAGTTAACTGGAGCGGAGGGTGGCAGGGGGAGCCAGATTTGTACATGCATGTCAGGACAACCCCCCATGAGGGAGAAGCCGTCTGTTAAAGGATGCTGAGTCCTCAGATGACCTCTCAGCCCAGTGCTCTGACCCATTCATCCCTGGGTGGCACATGTGAGAGGAAAGGCTCTCTCTCGTGGAGCCATCCTATGGTTGGGCCTCCATCAAAAAAGCCTGTTCTCTAATACACTAACAAAAGCACAAACAGGACCTCAAGGGAGGATGGACAAATCCCACACAAGGACAGTGGTTTGGAAAGGCTTCACTGAGGTGGTGACATTTGAATTAGGCTTTGAATAGTAAGCTTGAGAGGAGAAAAAAAAAAAAAACAGAAAAGCCATCTTCCTAGCTATGAGTTGATTTTCAAGACATTTCCAACTGGCTATAATGGGAGCGAAAGTATAATGAGGACATTCTCTCCTGCCCAGCATTTAATCCCTATTTTCTTAAAGGGCAAAGCAAGAGAATCACTACCCCACTTAGACCCAAGGGGAAAGTACATGACCTTGGCTCAGCCAGTTAAAGCAATACATCCTCATGATTGGTTAAGAATGGTCATGTGTTACAATTTTGGCCAATGAGATTCTTTCCCAGAAGCACTGAGAAACAGAGTGTCTCTACTAGAACTACTTAAGAGGTAGGATATAAACCCAGGGCTGCTGGGGACCAGTTTATAAAGAAAGTCTGCCTATAAATGAAATATACACATTAGAAAAGAAAGTTTTAAAAAAAAGCTAAATAAGAGACAAGTCCTAAGAGTATCATTTGAGCAGCAGGATCTTGCAATATCTGAAGTTATATCTGGACTTTTCAGTTACAGGAGCCAATAAATCCTCCACTTGTTCTTAGGCAACTTTGAGTTGGGCTTTCTATCATTTGTAGCATTAAAATTTCTATCTGGTGTCAAATGCACAAAGAACTGAGGAGAGAGAAACCAAGGACAGAAGTTTGAGCAACACTGCAAAGAGGATCATGAAGTCAGGAGCAATGGTGCATTCCTGTAATCCCTGCTACTTGGGAGACTGAGACACAGGGATCATAAGTCCAAGGCTAGCCTGGGTAACATAACAAGACCCTGTGTGAAAAGCAAAAAAAAATTGGGGACCAGGAATGTGGCTCAGTGGTAAAGTACTTGCTCAGCATATGTGAGGCCCTAAGTTCAAATCCCAGCACTGCAAAAAAAAAAAAAAAAAAAAAAAAAAAAAAATCAAAGGTCTGGAGGCATAGCTTAGTAGAGCATCTGCCTAGCATGTGTGGGGCCCTAGGTCCCATCCCCAGTACAGAGGGGGAAAAAAAAAAAAAGGTCAAGAATGCTGGGCTGCTTTTTCATCCTGTAGAAAATGACTGCCACCTAACTCACGGAAGTTTTTAATCCACATAGAACAAAAAAGGAGACACTAGGAGAATGGTTCAAAATGTAATAGGGCTAGTGAGCTGCCTTCCATCCCACTGTGGGCCTAAAGGGTGGAGGCTCTGACTCAGCACTAGGGAACCAGGAGACAGGGTCAAGGTCAGGATGTCTCACATTCACATCCTGGGCTGGCTGAACCTAGGCTGAGCCCCCTTGGCCAGATATTCCATAATGTTTCTGAATCCTGTGAAAATGGAGATACCATGATCTGATGCACCAGGTTATTGAGAATAAAATGACTGATACCATAGGAGCTTCCAGTGCAATGCTGGGCGTGCAACAGGCATACAATACACACTGGTTCTCTTGGTATAGAACACCAACCCACTTGACCCCAGGTGGCACACACATGCAGCAGGTACTAGTTCCTTGTAAGAGTCCTCCCAGGAACATTACTACCATCTGGCAGGGGCTGATGGCCTCTTCTGGACTCAGAAGACATGTAGGGAAGCGTCCTTCTCCTTCCTTTCTCGCTTCCCCATTTCCTCTCAACCTCAGGCCCCTGAAGGGAGGTGAGAGTCCCACAACAGGGCTGGGATGGGTCCCGCTCCTACCCATTCTTCTTGGGCAGGTAGGCCTCCATGTCAAAGAAGACATTCTGCCGCTCCTTAATGTGGGCACTCATCTGCTGGACCAGCTCTGCCTCCTCCTGGCTGGCATGGCGCTTGTACCTGCAATGGGAGGTGTGGGCATAGAGATAGGGCATTACTCAGAGATGGAGGAAGAGCAGGGACCTCTCCACATGTCCACCCCAAGCAGGGCCTCTCGCAACCTCAGTTCTCCATCTGTACCCTCTGGGCTTGACACTGGCTCCCAGTAGCCTTGTGACCTTGGAAAAGTCCTTGAATTTCTTTGCCTTATTTTCCATACTGGAAAAGTAGGGATAGAAGCAGGCCCTTCCTTATAGACAATAGCCTTTGAGAATGATTCAGTAAACACAGTATAAAGCCCAGAATGATACTTGGCACACAGTAGGATCTCAATAATCAGCTGGCAAAACTTTTTTTTCCCTCACTATTCTACAGGAAAATGTGTAGAAGTATAAGCAGGTGATCACAGTCTGATTGTCACCATCTGGAGAGATGTAACTCTTAAAACTAGAAAAACAAAGTCTGGAGACATGGCACCCTTAGGATGGTGGGAGGGGTCCTTGGTCTAGGGCCCTAACTCACAGGTCAACCTTGCAACCTAGTGCTTCACAACTAGGGACACTGGGCAATGTCTGGAGACATTCTGGTTGTCACAACATGGGTGAGGAGCCCCACTGGTACCCAGTGGGTAGAGGCTGGATGCTGCTAAACCTTCTACAACACCCAGAACAGTCCTTCATAGCACAGAATAATCAATGGTGTTGAGGCTGAAAAACTCTGGGCTGAAAATAGATGGGACTCTGGAGGCTGCCATCAGAAAGCTGTGCTTTGCCATGGTAACGATGTGTCTACATGATGATCCATGACCCCTTACTCCTCAACCCCTTATGAGCCCCTGATTCCAAAATGTGCAGCCAAGCCAAGGGATCTGATCAACACCTTCTCCAACAACTGCCCGCGAAGGAAGGGAGAATTGATCAGGAGGCACGAAAACAGAGGCCCACATAAGTGACCTGGTCACGTCACTTAAAGCCTCAATTTCCCTGCCTGCCTCAGGGGATGAAGGCATCCATTGGATGCCTTACCTACAAGAGATGAGCTTCCCAAACCATGAAGACATGAGGACTGAGAAGTGAACATGATCTAGGCTCAAGAACTGAACTCAGGTACTCTTGGGACCGCAACCTGGGACTCCAACCTAGTACCTCCAAAACCAGAGACCCTGGTGGGGACAGCACCCCACATCTGTGAGAATACCTGCTGTAAACCTGGCCAGCAAGACTTCTTTCAACTGCATCCCAGCTTTCATCTGAGAAACCTCCTCTCATTCTTTTCCCCCCTCCATTTAGATCAAGCAGGGCTTTCCCACTCACCAAGGTCCATAGACTGAGCATATGACACAGTCTTACTCAAGCAGTCTCAGGGACTGGTTCAAAGATGGGCACATGACCAAGCCTAGCCCATGAGGATCAATCCCAGGATTTCTGCTAAAGCTCTGGGGGAGACAAGTTTTCATTCTGTTGGAGGGTGGAAACAATGCAGTAGGAAAGAAGGCTAGAGGATCTAAACTTGTTACTGTAAGTGGCCATCTCAGTGACCAGGAGGGGACAGTCAGCCTGAGTGCAAAGCAAATCTGGAGGATGACAGAATTTAGAGAAAAACACAGATTCCTACAAATACCCTTTGATCCCTGGATCCAGCAATGTCTGAAGGTACTCCTGCTTTTTTCCCATTAGAACTTCCATTCTCTGTTTAAGCCAGTTTTGAGATGGTATTCTGTCATTAAACAATGAGGAAACCACTAAGTTGCAGCCCCACCTACCTCTGGAGCGTGTGCTTCAAGTCCTTGAGCCGCCTCTTCTGCTTGTGGATGGAACTGCTACACAAGGCCTGCAGTGCTGTCAGCTCCTCCAGCTTCTGCCTGTAGATCCTGTGGGTCTCCTGAAGGATGGAGTGGCCAGGGTAGTTTTGTGGGGGAACATTAACAGGCCGTTTTTTATAGTTTGCTTGTGGTCAGGAGACATGGCTACAGAGGTCACAGGCTGTCAAAAAGCAGCATGACACAGTGCCTGTGTCATAAGTAACTGCTGCTTTTTCCTGCCCAGGTTCTATTCGTTCTGATGCTAACATCAATTAAATATGCCACTGAGGGGCTACGTCTAATCAATTCATTGTCCAGATGCTTTGGTAAAACTTGAGGTCCCACTCTAAGGGTGGTCATGCGACCCTGGCCTGGCCAACCAGTATCCTCCAGTTCCCTAACAACTGCTGGGTTCAGAGTTGAACACATGGCTCCTGCTGACCCAGTGAGAGCCGACCCTGGGACTTTGGCTAGCAGGACTGGCTTAGAGATGTTCTTTTCCCCCTAGGTTTGCTAATCTGGTAGAAGTTACACATGGACTCTGAGAGGGGAGAGCCTTTCTAAAAATGAAGTCACACAGAAAACAGAACTGAGAGATGGTAAGAGATGGAATTCTCATAGCATCTGCTATGGTTTGGATATGATTTGTCTCCCAGAGGTTTATGTGCTGGAAGCTTGGTCACCAATGTAATGGTGCTGAGAGGTGGTAGGACTTTTAAGAGGGTGGACCAAGTAGGAGGTAATTAGGTCATGGGAATACTACCCTTGAAAGGGATAGCTTATTGTGCAGGAGTAAGTAATGTCTCAATGGGTTGGGTTAGTACTCATGAGGGCAGATTGTTATAAGCAAGGTTGGACCTTCCCCTGACTCTCACTTAAACATGTGCTCTTCCACAGGTACCCACTGGCCACCGTCACACATGCCTCCACCATTTGATGCCATTTTCCATGTTATGAGACAGCAAGAGGCCCTTGCAAGATGTAACCACTTAAGCTTGGACTTTTCAGCCTCCAAAATCATAAGCCAAAATAAACTTGTTTCCCTTATAAAGCACCCAAACTAGATATTTTGTTATAGAGACAGAAAATTAATTTTGGCTCTTGGGTCTAGGCAAGTCTCAAAGACATGTTATCCAATACCCTGGGTTCTATGAATTGATAAATTCCCCTTCACTTACTACTCACTTTGACTTCAGTTTCTGATCCTGGCAATGGGGAGAGAGTGCTGAGTCAACTAGAAAAAGAACATACCTCCTCCCTTAAAGCCACCCTCCCTCCCCCAGACACATTAATTCAATAAACTTGCTATCTGGAGATAACCATTCAGAGCCACAGAGACTTCATCCCAATGCTGAGAGAATGTAACACAGTAATTTCTTGAATTGCTGCTTTGAGGAAAGAAACTAATAGGAAATGTGGAACATGAAATTAAAATCAATAAGCCAATGGACACAATTTAAATGGCTGTTTTTTTGGCTGTTGAGGAAACATTTTTAACAAAGGCAGAGGTGGGGATGGTTGGCTAATGGGGACAGAGCCTAAACTCCCACACCTACCAGGCAGGGTCTCTAGATACAAGGTTCAACCAGAAAATGAGGAAGCAGTGAAGTCGGTCAAGTGGACAGATAATTAGGAGTGAAATCCAGTGATGAGTGATTCACCCTGGCCACCCACCTGGAAGACAGAAGAATCAGTAGCCTCTCTCTCTCTCTCTCTCTCTGGGCCTCCCAAAGAAGGAAATCTTGTTTTTGTTTTAAATTTTAAATAATTTTAAACTTGCAGAATCGTAAGAATAAAAAACACTTCTCTATATTCTTGACCCACATTTACCCACTATTTTCATTTTCATTACATTGCATTTGCTTATCACCTCTGTGTGTCCTCTTTCTATATCAGGCATCCGTAAACTACAGCCCATGGGCCAAATTTGGCTCTCTAATTTTGTATGGGCAGTAAGGAAATGGGTTGTGTAGGGTTGAAAAAGAAAAATCAAAAGAATATCTTGTGACACATGAAAATTATATGCAGTTGGAATTGCAGTATCCATATGTCCAGTTTTACTGGCACACAGCCACGCCCATTCATTTACATATGGTCATGGATGCTTTGGCACTAAAACAGCAGAGTGAGTGGCTATGACAAAGACCATATGTCCCCCAAAGCCTAAACTCTTCTTTTGGTCTTTTACCAAAAATTTTGCCCACTCCCATGTTATCTCAGATATTTGGGATTTAGTTATAAACAACACAATTTCTACTTCTAAATACTTCAATGTGTCTCTAGAAACAACGATATTATCTTATATGTCCAGAATACAATGATCAAATACAGAAAATTCAACCTTGATACAGTGCAATGCTGTGACCTCAAAGACCATGCCAATTCACATTCTGGTATCGCTTTCTTTCATGGCACTTCCCTCCAGAGCCTGGATCCAACTCAGTCTGGTGCCTTTCATTATTACTGCTAGTGTCTCCAGCTTCTTTTAACCTGCGATGGTGCCTCAATCTTGTCTTTCAGGAATTGATGGGGTTGTTTGTTTTAAATATTTATTTTTTTAGTTATAGGTGGACACAATACCTTTAGTTTATTTTACATGGTGCTAATGATGGAACTTAGTGCCTCACACATGCTAGGCGAGCGCTCTACCTCTGAGCCACAGCCCCAGGCCTCAGGAATTGATGTGTCTAGAGAGTTCAGTCCAGGAGCTTTGGAGAACAACCCTCAGCCCAGGTTTGCCTGATGTTTCCTCTTGATTAGATTATGCTTATACACTGGGGCTGGAATGCCACTCCCATGATGCTGTGTCTCCAGAGCCTCCTGTCAGAAGGGACATGGTGCCTGTGATGTTGACTGTGATTACACGGTGAAGGTGTCCATCTACCAGAGTATTCACTGTACACTGACCAACTTTCTTTCTTTATTTATTTTTTTTCGGGGCTGCCCAGGACTTATGCATGCTAGGCAAGCACTGTACCACTGAGACATACCCCAGCCTCACAGTGACCAACTCTATTTGTAATTAGCAAGTTATCTCAGGGCTGAGGCTCAGTGGCAGAGCACTTGCCTCACAAGTGCCAGCTCTGGGTTCAAGTTTCCTGCACCAAAAATACATAAATAAAATAAGTTATCTGTGTGGAGAAAGATTATGTGTGAATCACTTCTGAATTCTTCAGTGAAACACAGCCCTCAAGTGCAAGGAACATCTGCTAGTAACAAAGGAAACCCACCAGAACAGGAGAGGGATCACTGGAACAGAGAGAAATCTTCCACAAGGTGGGACCTTCAGATGAGCAGCTCCAGGGAGATAAAGGGCCACATTGCCTCCCAGCACTCTGGTGTTGGGTTCCACCATGGAGAGATAAGGTGAAGGCCACACAATCAGCAGCCAAATGCTCACCAGGCCCTCCTCAATGTGAATTAATATTTAATTTCACAAGTAAAACATGAAGACATTATCCTTGTTAAAAATTAAAACGCTATGTCATAGAACCTCTCTGGCTTCAAGAAAGCAGGAAGACTTGGTAATCAACTCCAAATGCTCATCTGCCCAGCTGTGTTTGCTTTAGAGGGACAGGACAGAGACACTCCCTTCAAGGCTGTGAACAAAACCAGGACTTGTCATCACTTCCATGAGCTCATTAAAAAATACAAAAAAAAATTGCTTCATGTGGAAAAAAATGAACACATAATCCCAACAACTCAAGAAGCTGAGGCAAGAAAACTGCAAGTTCTTCTTTGAATATCCTTCTTTCCCAGAATAACCATTGTTATCAAATTCTTCTAGATCTTCTTTCTCCCTCCTTCCTCTCCCCCTCTCCCCAACATATCTCTTTCTCTCTCTCTCTCTCTCTCTCTCTCTCTCTCTCTCTCTCTCTCTCTCTTTCTTTCTGCAAGATCTCACTATGTAGCCAAGGCTGGCCTCAAACTCTCCATCCTCCTACTGAGTAGCCTTCTGAGTAGCTAGAAAACAGGTGTCCACTGCCGCACTTGGCTAGCCCTTCTTCTATGTACTCTGCCAAGCTATGGTCCATGTATTTCTGGGTTTTTTTTAATATTTATTTTTTTTTAGTTGTAGTTGGACATAATACCTTTAGTTTATCAATTTATATGTAGTGCTGAGGATCGAACCCAGGGCCTGGCACGTGCGAGGTGAGCGCTCCACCACTAAGCCACAACCCCAGCCCCTTTATTACCACTTCTATGTAATATGAGCACATAACAAAAGATCTATCCTCTTGGAACATGTGTATGTATATAATACAGTATAGTTAACTGTAGGCACTATACTATGCCTCAGGTCTTATTCATCTTGTACAACTGAAACAATGTACCCTTTGATTTACCTCCCTACTCCCTGTATTCTATATTCTATATAGATCTGTTTCTATATGCATGAAAAAAAATACACACATACACACACACACACACACTCAGACATTAAAAAATACATACTGTTGCAAAAAAATTACTGTCCCCAATACTTGGTCTCTTTTGTTTCCTTTTAGTAACAGTATTCCATCAAGCTGTAGCTGGGCACATGGCTATCCAGCTAGGGACTACATTTCCCAGCCTCCTTTGCAGCTAGGTATAGCAGCACAACTAAGAGTTAGATGTAAGCAGGAGCAATATGTTCAAGGTTTTCCTTTTGTTTTGTTTTCATGGTGCTGAGGACTGAACCCAAGGACTTGTACATGCAAAGTATAAACTCCACCAATGACTACTTTCTATATGGAACTTCTTGCCTTCTACTCTGGTTCTCTGGCTGTGATGCAGCAACAACGGGTCAATTTATCTTGAAACCAGAGATGAAAGCTACATGATGAAAATGGCAGAAGACACTGTGCCCTCTCCAACCAAACCATCCTGGGTTCTAGAGTGGCATCATGTGACAAAGCTTCCCACCTATGATGGTTTTAAAGCATGGCCACCCATTCTTTAGCATTCCTCACATACAGAAGTCTTTGTTCCCACCCCTCAAATCTAGATAGACTGTGACCAATCTGACCAGTAGAATGTGGGAAAAGAAACACCATTTGACTTCTCAGAGTCACAAGCAGTCACATCGCTTCTACTTTAT